CTCGAGCTCGCATCTCTCCTCTCGCCTCCATCATCTCCTCCATCCTCCATCATCTCTCCTCTCTCCTCTCGCCTCCCTCCTCCCTCCTCCCTCCTCTCTCCATATCTCCATCTCTCCATCTCTCTTTTCCTCCTCCCGCATCATCTCCCCTTCCGGCCATCTGATCGCGGCAAGTGACGCACATGCACAACCACGAATCCACCCCCACCCCCTCCCTTATCCCTCGTCCCCTTCGCTTCCTCTGTGTACCACCCCACTCCATCCACATATAGTACCCCACCCTTGACCTTTAACCCACCCCTCTTCACCAACATGACTTGTCCCCTGCATGTAAAGATTCCTGCTACCCCACCTTTCATTACTAAGACAGATGGGTGGTCATAATCTACTCTTACTTTGAACTGCCTACCCCTACTAATTCTGACATGCAAGAACGAAAAGTGAACAGTTCCTAAAAGTTTTTTGTGGACCCCTACAATCGACCATCAACACACTAGAAAATGTTCACAAATGGACTAAAAAAATGACCCTTGCCCTGTCTTTGCGCTACCCTACCCTACCCTACAGGACTACTTTAATCGGGCTCGCTTCAGATCAATCACCATGAAGACCTAACGGTCTGAAACGATCCTATAACGACTTTCCAACCGTCTTCAACGGACTCTCACTTTTTCATCCCACCCATCATGTACGATAGGCGCGCCGGCGAGTTCGCGGAAGATCGCAGGTTCAATGCCGCTGCCATATGATCGCCGCTGCATCACAGTCACAATCTACCATCCTTCACCAGCCCTGCTCGCCGTTGCCTCCCACTCACATTCATAGGGCTGACTCGCTGCGTCACCCGCCGGAGTCAGACCGTAGGACGGTCCGAGTATACAAGTCTGCCTGCTGAAGTTCACTTCGTCCCCCTTGAATCTTTTGATGAATATCTTCACTTTTGTAACTGACGCTGATCCTCTGTCTTGTTTGTGCAGATGATGTGATGCTAGTCCCCAAGCAGGGGGTGCCATCGGAGAGAAAAGGAGACAACTCTACCGGTCCCTTGCGCTAGGCCAGCTATCAATGTCACTACTGATGGTCAAGGAACGATAGAATGAAGCAATCGGCCATGTCAGCAATGAATCCAAGACGATCAAGCGTAGAGACAGTGAAGAGTATGGGGACAGGATCGGTGAAGAGTGAAGACGTGGACTTTGAAACGAGCTCTCGAAGAAGCTCTTCCGCTAGCTCTCTTCATAGAGAGCTGTCGAGTAACAACCAGTACAAATCTCTGCTGGGAACTCTCGATGAAATCGATCAGATCCTGACCTCGAGTAAGAGCAAGCCGAATGACCGCAGGCACAGCATGGTGATGAAGAGACGTTCGACCATTCATCGTCAAGCCGTTCTCGAGTCGTACTCGGACTCTCATCTGGACAACGAGACACCCTTGATGTTCAGCAGCATGGACGAGTCCTGGCCAAGATCTCTTGTGCAAACAGCGACAACCATGACCAAGGCACCACAGAAGACGAGGCCAACAGATACGGCGAGGCAGAACAAGGTTGCTAAGGCATACTCGTACGCCATTGCACGGTCAATCATTGAAGGGATCTTTCTTGACATCGTGTTTGAGGAGGACATGTCAGCTCCGCCCACTGCTGGGTCGCAGACGTCGCACATCGCGTTGGAGGACAACATTGAAGGTTCTGTGCAGGAGTACGAAGAGAGAATTAGAGAGCTTGCAACCTCTGGCAACAACCTGAAAGCTGCTGAGATCTGCAACGAGGCCCTCGACAAGTTTGGGAACGAGCCTTTTCTCAATCAGCTCTTCAGCACCATCTGCGCAAGGCTCAACGTTACCCTCCCGCCTTCTCGTACCCGTTCCAGGTCTACCTCTCAACAGCCAGAAGCGTCCTCATCGGAGACGACCTGCCCATCTCCTACAGGATTGTGTCGCAGGACGACTGGGATTTGGAACCGGGAGGATTCATCGCGCTGTTTGAGGCCGATGATCGACAAGACTCAGCCTACAAAGATCTGATCGCTCAGCGACCATCCCAGATGAAGCAGGAGCTAGTGGACCACGAGCTCAAGTGACCCTCCCCACTACCACCACCCGCCCCCCGCGCTCCCTTCCTGCTCCCGCATCTTCCTTCTCCCTCCCTCCCTCCCTCCCTCTCTCCCTCCCTCCCTCTCGCCATCTTCCTCTCCCTTTTTCCCTCCCTTTTACCTCCCCCTCCCCTCCCTTCTGCCATCGTCCTTTCCCGCCTGCCCTCCCTCGCTCCTGCCCTGTCCCTGCCCCTCTCCCTCCTCCTTCCCTCTCTCCCTTGCCGTCCTTCATCATGAACTTCGTCGGCAGGTCTCCCAGTGACGCCATCACCCGCATCACTGTCTCGAGCAAGTCGGAGGACATCTTTCTCAGCGGTCGCTTCCTCACCAGCAAGGGTCGATACATCCTCCGCTACTACCACGAGCACAATGCCATGTGGCCCTCAGCCCAGAGCGATTCCTTCGAGACTATCATCCCTGCCGTGTCCTTGTCCTGCCCATCCCACGTCCTCTGCCCCGGCGACTTCGAGGTCTGCATCGCCTTCGAGCCGTTCAAGAGGAGACTGCAGTCAGTGACGGACGGCGACTACCTCCTCCTCCGATCCACCAGCACCCGATCGGCTCCTCCTCCCGACCACAAGCTGTTCTTGAAGCCATGGACGGTGATCGAGCGAGTGAGGGTACAGCACTGGCCCTCCTTTCCCGGCAGTCACTCGATATCCTACGTGTCGAAACTCTGCAATGAGCAGGTGAGGCCCTTGAAATCCTGACCTCCTCCCCCCGGCCCCTACGTTCTTCCTCCTTCCGCTCCCTGAGCACCCCCTTCCTCCTCTCTTCCTCCTCTCTTCCTCCTCTGCCAGATACTCGTGCCTTGTCCTGCCCCTGCCCCTATTTTCTGGTGCCCTCCTTGACTCTCTGTTTGCTGTCCTGCTCCTCGTCTCCTCCCACGTTACATCTTTGTAGTCATGGAGGTTTTCAGATTATCGGGAGGACGGAGTTGTCCTCGAGCTTCCGAGTGCCTGAAGTTCAGATATCTCGCTCGATCGAGGTGCAGAAGAGAGGAGAGGAGAGGAGAGGAGAGGAGAGGAGAGGAGAGGAGAGGAGAGGAGAGGAGAGGAGAGGAGAGGAGAGGAGAGGAGAGGAGAGGAGAGGAGAGGAAAGGAGAGGCGAGGAGAGGAGAGGAGAGGAGAAGAAGGCAGAGGGGAGGGGAGGGAAAAATGATTTGCTAAAGACAATGTGTAGCTCAAGCTCTGCATCGTGGACTCGATGCCTGAGCATGCGGAGCTGTTGGAGGCTGTGGGTCATCGATTTTCAAGGATCTGTCAATATTTTCACAGCTCGTTCACGCTGGTATCTCGTTGTTTCATCCCTCTCCTCCCTCCTTCCCTCCCTCCCTCCCTCCCTCCCCCTCCTGTTCCCCTCTCCTCGTCATCTGCTCTTCATCCTATCCCCTTGTTCCCTTCTTTGGCGCTCTCGTTCTCCTCCAACTCCTCCTGCCCTGGTCAGAACTGCCTATCCTACTGTACCCCTCCCGTCAACTTCCTCCTCCCTTGCCTCCTTTTCTCTCGCTGCCCGCGTCCCTCCTCACAAACATTCAGACGAGTCTCCGTGAAGACATTGCCAACCCGCACTGCTCTCTCGGGTTGATCCAGAAGTCTCTCTCCGATGTCGATGCAAGTTTGCCGCACTTGGTCGTCGTGCTGCCCCAGTATGCCTCGCTTTCAAACAGCCATTTCTTTCCTCTTCCCTATCTCCCTCTTCCTCCCTCCCTCCCTCCTCCCCTCCCCTCCTCCCCTCCCCTCCTCCCTCCCCTCCTCCCTCCCTTCCTCCTCCCCTCCCCTCCTCCCCTCCCCTCCTCCCTCCTTCCTTACTTCTTCCCTCCTTTCTCGTTTCCTTCTCCCTCGTTCATGTTCTATTCCTCAAAAAACCTCTTCCTGCTTCCTCGCAATCATTCTCCTCTCACGCTCTGAATCTCCCCAGGAAATCAGGTAAAGTTCCAGCGCTTGCCAGCTCCTCCTACACTACAGAGCATCGTGTGGTGGACGAATCGAAGGAGCTGGAGGCGATCGGGAGGAGGAGGAAGAAGAAGAAGGAGCTGGGAGGAGACAAGAGTGGAGTTCTCAAGGAGTCGGTAGCTGAGATCTTCAAACGAGCGCTGGCGACGGAGGAGGCGATAGAGGAGAAGGAGCGGATCAAGTCAGCCGAGGGGTCCAAGAAACCCAAGTCTCTCGCCGCCATCCTCATGCATGGCTCCATGAAACGACTCCCGGTGACGTCAGAGGAGCAGGGCAAGGAGCAGGGCAAGGAGCAGGGCAAGGAGCAGGGCAAGGAGCAGGGCAAGGAGCAGGAGAAGTTGAAATTGAAGGACAAATCTGCCAGCTTCAAGGAGGACGGAGGGAGGGAACAGATGAAGAAGGAGCAAGGAGGAAGCGAGTCTCTCAAAGCTCAACCCGATCAAGCTCCGGCCCAGTCCAGCTCTCCTCCTCCTGCTACACAGACTTCGCCTCCTGCTACACAAACTTCTCCTGCTGCTCCTTCGGGTCCAGCAGCTCCTGCTCCTGCTGCTCCTGCTGCTCCTGCTGCTCCTACTCCTAATACCAGTTTCATGCTTCCTCCTATTGACGACGAGGCTATTGATAATGGTGACATCACGCAGGCAAGAATATACTCCTCCTCCCCTACCTCTCCCTCTTACCTCTCCTCCCCTACCTCGCCTCCCCTACCTCTCCCTCTTACCTCTCCTCCCCTACCTCTCCCCCCTTCCTCCCTTTCCAATCTCCTTCCGCTCCTGAGTTTGTCTTCCCTTTCCCCTTCTGAAGTTCCTGCAGGTCACAAAGATCCTCACGCTGAGAAAGTCTCCTCTCCTCTCCATCATGGACTCGCAAGACATTCGCACGCTAGCTCATGCCTCCGTCCTCCGCAAGCTCGAGCCGGGCAGCACCCTAATCGCTGTGGGGCAGATATCTGGCTCCATGTAAGTTCCTGAGATGATGGAGGGATACGAGGATGGAGGGGAAGTCGTGAGAGACTAGAAGAGAAGAGATGTTGAAGATGAAGAAGAAATAGAAGAAGAGACAGAAAGACAGAAAAGAAGATGACGATTGTAAGAGCGAAGCAGACAAGCGGGTTGTGCGGGGGGGAAGAGGAGGAGGAGGAGGAGGAGGAGGAGGAGGTGAGGTGATGCATAACTCAGGTATGTGGTTCTCAACGGGAATCTTTCAGTCCTCATTGCAGACGGGAAAGTTGAAGTTGCAGTGCTCAAGAGTGGTGATATGGTTGGTGAGTGGGAGGAGGAGGAGGAGGAGGAGGAGGAGAGGAGGAGAGGAGGAGATGACGGTTCGGGGTGCAGGAGAGATGAGTCTGCTCACGGGAGAGCCAGCAGGAGCAACAGTGAGAGTTAAGAGCAGCACATGCTCCGTGCTGGAAGTAACGAAAGCTGTTGTGATGAATATGATTCGAGATCGTCCTTCCTTCCGCAAGCACCTGGACGATGTCAGCTTCACACTATTCCTTTTCCTCCCCTTCACACACTCTCTCCTCCTCCCCTGCACCTTCTCCCCCTTCTCTCTTCCTCTCCTCCTCCCCTCTTCCTCGTCGCCTTTTTCTCTTGCTCCCCTCGTGCTGACAATCTCCATCTCCCAGTTCATGGCGAAACGACACGCGAAGAATGTGAGGGGGGGAGCGCGAGGGGCGCGAGAGGCTGACGGGGGATGGCAGGCTGAGATGATATCGAAACTCAACGAGAGCAAATGGAGGGCGCAAGAGGAGAAGATGCATCGAAACTTCTTGCATGACATGTCAAGTCTACATCCCTGGGTCTTCGAGTATAGAACCGTGAGATAGATTCTCTAGTCGCCCTCCTCTCCTCTCCTATCCTCTCCTCTCCTCTCCTCTCCTCTCCTCTCCTCTCCTCTCCTCTCCTCTCCCGTCCCGTCCCGTCCCGTCCCCTCCTCTCCTCTCCTCTCCTCTTCTCCTCTCCTCTCCTCTCTTCTCCTCTTCTCCTCTTCTCCTCTCCTCCTCTCCTCTCCTCTTCTCCTCCTCTTTTGCATGACATCTCCCCTCTGTCCCGCTTCCTTCCCTCATTCTTTGCTCTGAGCTCACTCCCTTGTCCTCCCCCAACTGCTCCTACCATCTGTTTCTCCGTCTCCATCGCTACCATAGCCCTGCTCCGCTCTCTCCCTCCCCCTGCCCCTTCCTTCTATCCCCTCCCTCGCGTCCTCCTTCTCCTTCCCACTCACCTTGCTGACTTCACATAGGACGACGACGATCCTCAGCTCCCTCCTCCTCCCCCCTTCGGCTCCATCGGTTGCTCCTTGTTCGAGCTTCTCCTCTCCTACGCATGCATCCTCGACCCCTCCCGAGCACCCAAGGCTCTGCTCTACGACCTCAACGAGGCTTACGGCGTCTCCTCCGATCGCTCCGTGCAGAGTCTGAGGAAGACCTGCTACCGTCACGTGCCGGAGCTGATCAGGAGCTATGACGTACGTCTTCGTCCCTCCTCCTCCTTCCAACTCCTAATCCCTTCGTTCTCCCTCCCCTCTCTCTGTCCTACTTCTTTCTCTCCTCTATCCTCTATCCTCTATCCTCTATCCTCTTCTCACTCTCTCCATCCCTCCTCCTCGCTTGACTCCTGCCCGGCAGACAGAGTCAGACCTGCAGCGCAAGATCTTCCGGGACGTTGGGAGGAACATCTTCGAGGAGGTTGGGAAGAGGATGAAGGAGGCGGAGGACATCGAGTACCTCTCTACCTCGGAGCTCCTCTCCTGCACGACCACGGAAGACTTCAGGTGGCCCGAGCTCTCCCAGCGCCTCCTCTCCATCCTCTTCCCCTTCCCCGCGTCCGAGGATGCAGACGACGTCCCTCGAGTCATCCTGATCCGCGGGTCTCCGGCAAGCGGCAAGACGCACTTGTGAGTGGATGGGAGAGGAGGAGGAGCAGGAGGAGTTTTGGTGACATGAAGGGAGCAGGTGCTGCAGCATTTGTAATGAGGTCTCCAAGAGATTCAGTAAGATGAATCCTCATTGTGTGTTTGATCCGAATAGCATGGCGCGAAGGTGAGGAGAAGGGAGGGAGGAGGATCAAGGGGGGAAGAGGAAGGGGTGGAGGAAAGGAGGGAGGAGGGAGTGATCGTTGATACAAGACGCAGGCAAGTCAGGCCAGATGACGTTGAGCTACAGTGCTTCGTCTCCCTCAGTCTCGTTCACTTCGCCAGCCTCCACACGTTGGACTTCTTCGACCTCTTGAGCAAACTCGCGCGTGAGCTCGAAGCTGCCATGCGCTACAACTTTCCGATCCCCTCGGAGATTGAGAGCCTGAAGCTGCTGGTACTGCAAGACAAGCTGGGAGGAGGAGGAGGAGGAGGAGGAGGAGGAACGTCATATAAGAATGGCAGGGAGGAAGATGAGAGGAGGAGGAGGAGGAGGAGGAGGAGGAGGAGCGTCAGATAAGAATGGCAGGGAGGAAGATGAGAGGAGGAGGAGGAGGATGGAGGAGGAGGGAGGGTGAATGTGGAAGGGAAGAGGAGGAGGGAGGGGTCCTTGAGAAGAGGAGGGGAGGGGGGACGGGTCCTTGAGAAGAGGAGGGGAGGAGGGACGGGTCCTTGAGAAGAGGAGGAGTGAGTGACTAGGGCGCAGGTGCGGGGGTGGCTGGAAGAGGCCTGCAAGAGGTTCAAGGTTGTGATCATCGTTGACCGGATCGACCTGATGGCGAACTGCGACTACGGATGGTTGCAAAGGTGAGCTTGCAAGGAAGATGAGAAGAAACCAAAATTTCAGAGAATCAGGGAGGAGGGAGAAGAGGAAGGAAGAGGAGCAGGAGGAGGGAGAGGAGGAGGCAGAAAGCAAGGGAGAGGAGGGGATGCAGCAGCAGGAGTGTGACTTGTCTCCTGCTCAAGGACTGTAGAGGAGCTGGGGAGCAACCTGAACTTGATCGCGAGCTCGGACAGCAACGATGTTCCTGCTAGACTTGTCAGACTGGCAACCAACGTCGTTGAACTCGACCAGGTCAAGAGCCTGTCGGTCGTCAAGCATGGAGTTGCTCGCAGGCAAGGAGGATTGAAGAGGAGGAGGAGGTGGTGGTGGTGGTGGAGGAGGAGGTGGAGTGGGAGGTGAGGGGGTGGGGGGACGGGGGGGGGAGGAGGCGGAGGAGTGTGACAGGTATTTATGGCAGTTTCTTCGAGAGGAAGGCAGAGGAACTTTCTGTCTCAGATGCTAATAAGATGTTTCACGATTGTTTCTCTGAACGCCTTCGACGAACGTCCTCTAACTTCGAACGGACGTCGTCAAAACCAGGTCCCTCCTTCTTCTCCCTCCTCCTGCTCTTTCACTATCCATCTGTGAATTTGATGTCCAGACCTGATGGGAGGAGGAGGAGGAGGAGGAGGAGAAGGAGAAGGGCTGGACAGCCTCACGCCAGGGCGCCTACGACTTAGCTTGGACTACATCACGTTGGCCTGCCAGACTGGCGTTGAGCTGAAGATCGTGAGGAAAACTCTGTGAGTGCTTGTGACAGACCTCACGATCTTTGTATGCGTTATAACTTCTTCCTTCCTCTCTTCTCCGCTCTTTTCCATTTTTTTTCCACACCTCCGCTCCACTTGACCTTCTCCTTCCCTCCTCCTTCCCTTCTCCTTCCCTTCTCCTTCCCTCCTTCTTATCTCCTCCTCTCCTCTTCGCCTCCTCCTTGACATTGAAGGTTCTCGACAAACATGGAGCAACTCAGCGAGGTCATTCTAAGAGCATACGACACTCGTCACAGAGCATTTGGAGATGTAAGTTCATGATGCTACAACCTTAATCGCTCCCTTCTGACACAAACATACAATCCTCATCTTCGTCCTTACCTCTAGAATCATATCCAATCCACTCCAATCCACTCCTCCACACAACTCTACTCATCTGTCCTCTGCTCTGCTCTGCTCTGCTCTGCTCGTGCACTGGCTAGATATTTGCCTTCATTCCATCACTTCAATTTCCTTCTTCTCTTGATTTCTTTTCGTGTAGATTTTCCGCTTTCTTGCAGTAGCAAGAACGGGGCTGACGACCAACGAGCTGGTTTATCTCGTGCAGACGAAATGCGGGATGGTCAGTGAACTATGTGGATGTTGTGAATTTCTCTCAGCCATCCAATCTATTCCCGTGATTTGCCGTCCAATTCAAATGCCTTTCTCTCTTCTTCACAAAATCAGAACCTGTTTACTTTGATGTCCGTCCAGTACCATACACGTGTTCTTGTGATTTCTGCTGTGCAATCATGGGTCGCTGTCTCATTTCACAACAGAATTTCACACGATTCTCGCGCATGCGTCGAGAGCTGCTGGACAAGCAGGTGGTTCAATGTCGCTCAATCACACTCTATCCCACCCTTATCTTTCCCTTCCTTGCTTTCACTCTCTCTATCCCCTCTCCTTCCCCTCTCCTTCCCCTCTCCTTCCCCCTCCCCCTCCCCCTCCCCCTCCCCCTCTCCCTCTCCTTTCTCTCTCCTAACTCCCCCTATCCTCTCTCTTCCACTCTCCCCCTCCACCCCCACCTCTCACTTCCTTCAGATCCTGCTCCTGGTCGGTGGCGTTCTCGACTTCCGAACGGAGTCCTTCCGCAAGACAGCGCACGAGCTCTTTCACGACAACCGAGAGCGGCTGACATACATCAAGGACCTTGTCAAGTACCTTGAGTCCTCCTCCCGCCGCTCTCATCGCCGCGTCATCATCCTCGGCCTACTCTGCATGGATATGATACAAAACAGGCTGCCATGGTTGCCGCCCTTGAACATCAAGTCTCAGTATCTCTATCAAGCCTCCTTGTCTCTAAAGGGCGAGAAGAAAACTACCGTACTCCTCTCCTCCTCCCTGTCTCTTCCTCCCTCCCCTCCTCTCCCCTCCCCTCCCTTCCTCTCCTCTCCTCTCTTTCTTGTCTCTCATGCTTCGACCCCAACAGGTCGATGACGAGGACTGGCTCGGCCTTCTGCTGGGTCTCGTCGAGGATCCCATGGCGGCAGCTGCGTGTGGGATCGCGAGAATAGAGAGGTACTACCTGAAGCTCTACCAGTATGCCAGCAAGGCAGTCGAGAAGGAGCTCAAACGCGTCAAGTCAGGCGTCCAGCGAGACGTTCGCTGGCTGATGTCGTCGCTGTCCCACCTCCTCCTCGACAGGTTTCAGGACTTGTACAGCTCCTTCCTCTCCAACTTCGACGACTCAACTCGCCGAGTGATCCTCGTCAACAGCGACTCTGACTTCAAGCATCCCCTCTGCTTCGTCGTCGACGGTTTCGCCATTGCAAACCTGCTCGACAAGTATCATCGCAGCTCCGCCTCCTTCGACGTCGTTAACTTCGTCATCAAGACTATCTTCAACGTCCCTGACTTGCGCCTTCTTCAGCCTGACCACGGCCTCTCCCGCCCCTGCCACTCCCTCGCTCCCCATTTGCTCCACATCGTCGCCTTCGCTGCCCTCGCGTGCGTGAGCAGGTGGCGGAAGCATCACTACGCCATCAAGTGCTGGGCGGTGGAGGCGAGGAGGGTCTGCATGGAGCGCCTGCACAAACAGGAGGGGGAGGGGGGGGCGGTCAACACGGATGGGATTCGACCAGCTGCGCGGCCGATGAGGTTCGGGAAGGAGGGGATGCAGCTGCAGTCCGACAAGCAGCGGCTTTTCGAGGAGGCGGAGAGCATCATCGTCGCCTGCCACGTCGTCGCCGCAAAGCTCCGGGAGCTGCTGAGCGCTGGCAGCGAGTGGTTCAGACCCTTCGACGAGCTGGAGCTGCAGCTGGAGGGGGAGGTGATATCGGAGGACATTGACATCCGGGCGAGCATGATCTTCGCTCCTGTCCTCCCCGATCAAGTTCTGCTGCAGCTCGAGGCCCTGCTCGCTGAGATCAACTCGTTCGCTGCTGACGTTGGCATGTGAGGCTTCTTGTCGCGCTTCATGACCCTCCAGCTGACTCTCCAGCAGAGACTGGAAGGTGAACTTCTCCGAGAAAGTTCCGCTCAACAAGCGTGAGAAGATCTTCCTCTCGACGACTCAGGTAAAGCCTGACCCTCCTTCCTCCTTCCGCTTCTGCTCACTACTTTCCCGCCTCGCAGGCACTCAAGCGATGGTCGCAGCAGACTCTCTTCAGAGCTCTGAACGCGTGGAAGGAAAGAAAGTTCAAAGTCAACGACCCTTCCACGTAGGAAGAACTTACTAGTTAGCACTGGCAACCTTCTTGGTAGTATGTGATGTAAATGATTCATTCATGTTCTTCTAGTTCCCCGGCAAATCTCATCAGTGAGCCCGGTACTCTTAATGGATTTTTACTCATCAGTGAGCCCGGTACTCTTAATGGATTTTTACTCATCAGTGAGCCCGGTACTCTTGATAGATTTTTAAGTAATGTTAAAACAGTACGAGGGCAATGGGAGCCTGAGTAGAGGAGGCTTGCCACCCGGCCCGCTGTCTCACCGGCGAGCCCGGGCCCCTCCTCCCCGCTCAACACTAGTTGAGTCCGATCTCACGCGTCGGCGCATGCACATAGGAAACGAGAAAACAAGGAGGGAGGGAGGGAGGGAGGGAGGGAGGGAGGGAGCAGAGCAGAGCAGAGCAGAGCAGAGCAGAGCAGAGCAGAGCAGAGCAGAGCAGAGCAGAAGAGAGGAAAGGAGGGAGACACTAGGATTGGTCAGAGATCAATTGTCCCTGTGCTAAGGGCCCATCGATGCAAAGAGCAAGGGAATGTAGAATTGATCTTTGAAATTATCAACTGGAATGTTCCGTGTGGCTGCAAGATCCTGATTGTAAAGTGAGTTGTAACATTGATAAATACAAGAAACATAGAGAACAAGGCTGCTAGGCACGAGGACGAATGTCTGGCTGTCTTATCTTTGAACTGCAGGACTCAGCAAAGTTGGAACTTTTATTCGATCGAACCCCCTGATCTACCGCCAAGATGGTATGAAGCAAGCAATTTGAAGCATGCAATGATGTCAAGTATTCTTGATAGGATATGAATGCTATGCTCGCGGGTGTCTCGGAAAGTGAGAGACAGAGGCTGATGATGATGCTTGAAGACATGCAAATCAAGGAACAGGTGACCATGTACAACAGTCTTGTGGAAAGGTAGGACATTCTCTTCAGCTCATACTGCAGCATTCGATTTTGAAGTTGGTGACTGGCCTGGCTGATGGTGCAGATGTTTCAACAATTGTGTGACCTCATTTCGGTCCAAGACGTTGGACGACAGAGAGGAGAAGGTAAAACTCTTTCAGCCATGTTTCGAGTGCAGCTGTCGAGGTCACCACTAGTGCAGTGCATCACGAGGTGTACGACCAAGTTCATCAAGGCATCTGCTCGAGCTGGTCAAGCTTTCCAGGCTATCGGCATGCAACCAGGTGAACTTCCTCCGCATCGACGGCGTGGATGAGTGCTGGTCAGGTCAAGGCATGCCAGGAGCTCCTGGAGGAGGAGTGTAATGAGACTCAAGTTTTATCTAAGCTCGTATCTTGGTATGCGAGCATAATGCAGCCAGACACGCAGAGAGGACAGCGACTGAGGGCTCGAAGCCATAGCAAGCTGCACCTCGTCTGCTAACTAGTTCTCTTGACTGACCCTGGACTTGATGTCTTCTTGTCATAGTTGTAACAATACTCGCCTGCAAATGTCGCGATAGTTCACCTGCTCGCATGGTCATTCCGCTCTCGTGCTCGTCTCTATTGAAACCTCGTCGCCTGATATTCTCGAAGAGGCCACTAGCAGCTTGTGCTCGCCGCACGCCTCATCCCCTGCTGCAGGCGAGCTTCAGATGGGTCGAGCAGCAGGAGGATGGACAAATGAAACACGCAGGCACAAGGCTGAAACGATAGACAAGCAGAAGAGGAGCAGGTTGAGGCAGAGAGCAGAAAGATACCGGGGGATATGCAGTAGATTGAAATCTCGAATTTGATTCTATTCCGCTCGCCTCGAATTGATCGCGCTGTCGAGCTTTTCGTTGTGATCTAACAATTCTCAGCTCATGAACTGTCGAATTTGATCACAGACCTTGTGATCTTGAAACTGTTTGGTAAGCTCCGACATGACTGCCTTGACATCCTAGGCACACTCAAACAATTGGCAACTCAGAATAGACGGTCACCTTGATTATAATTGTTGCAAGATCAGTCGGCATGGAAAACTTGCTGTCGGCATCAGAAAGCCTTCTTGGCTGCGTCACCGTCCGACTGCGAGGAAAGTTGATGAGCTGGACGCTCAGCCCCTCGGGCAACTGGTCGGCCTCACCTCCGTGCTCGCATCGGCGTTGCTTTGGTCTGAAAGGATCGCTCGTGAGCTTCACCCATGTCAACTGAAGTGATTCTTGCCTTGGGCAGCGGGATGACGAGCGTCGTCGGGATTTCGTTTTCGGCTTCAGAGATGGTGAAAGTCTCACAGCAGCGAGTGCTCACTTTGAGATGTACAAGCACAACATTGTGTTCACTGATAGCCTCTGCACGGTGATCAACTTTGGAGGCCGCGCAAGACGATCAGCTCGCTATACCTTTTGCAAGCTCTTCTGAAGCGAGGTAAGTAGTTTTCAGGAGCTCAAAGCGGAGATTCGCGATGACTCTCTTGGGTGAATTCTCTTTCTTTCCCGGCGATTCTTCCTTCCCTTCGCTTGTTGGCTTGTCGTCAGCATCCTTCGCAGGGTTCAGAAACGAACAAGAGGACCAGCAAGGACGCGCCTGATCATCGAGGAGGAGAGTATCCAAGGACAGAGGGGATTTCGCCAGCCAGCGGTGTTGCCAGACCTGCCGCAGCAGCTGAATGAACAGCAGCCTGTAAGGCGCTGGCGGTACCTGCGACAGGTGCATCCTCTTCTCAGGCTCAACCACCAAGAATTTGCCGATGATGTCGGCAACATCTGACCACAAAGCATCAGCACATTCGGACGCGAAGAACCTCTATGTAAATTCATGAATAAACCTGGAGAGCAGAAAGGAGGAATCGAATAAAGGGCCCCTTGAATCAGGCGAAATCTTTCAATGACGTTAGAACGCAGTGCAACATGGAAATCAGTACAATTCATTTTGATTCTCCGACGAGAAAGGTTCTTTGCCAGCAACCATGGTAAACAGAGTTGCTCCCAGGCTCCATACGTCGACTGCTACCCCATCATATTTCTGTCCCTGCGTTATCTCGGGAGCGGCAAAACTAGACAGTGGGGTCAGAGGAGACCTCCAGCAAGCACAATAAGGGGAGACCAACCAAGGAGTTCCACAGATGGTCTTGAGCATCTCCATAGGCCTGAAGTCGTTGCTCAGCCCAAAATCTGCAATCTTGCAGACCAACGACTTGTCGTCTCTTTCAACCAGAAGAATGTTCTCGGGCTTGATGTCCCGATGAGAAATTCCTTGACGATGGCAGTAATCTAACCCGGATGTGATCTGAACGAAGAAGGGACGAGCTTCACTCTCTGGAATTGGCCCCGTAGCCACAATGTACTCTTGCAATTGTCCCCGCTTAGCATAATCGAGAACCAAGAACAATTTGTTTCCCTTCTCGATCGCCTCGTGCATGGAGATGATGTTGGGGTGTGAGATGTTCTTCAGAACGTGCATTTCTCGCATCACATTCTCAAGATCCTTAATGTTCTGAATCTTATCCTTGTCGACTATCTTCATAGCATATTGCTTCTTTTTCGTCACATGGGTCGCCAGTCGCACTTTGGAAAAGGCGCCACTGCCAATGAGCTTTCCTATCTCATAAGACCCAACATTTACAAAAGCACCCTCTGACTCCATGCTTACTCTCGCTCATACTCAAAGGTTGGTTGAGCGACCATCGAGCTTGAAGTTTCGGGTTACTAGAAAAAGGAGGTGAAGGTCAGCGAAGTTCTAATGAAAGGCGGGAAATCCGAATAATCTCTTTGAAAACATCAGACACATTCCATACAAAGGGCATGCACAGATCCTTTCTCAACAGGCCGTGTCTGAAACTGCACTGGCAAACCTCATGATACAAAAGCTACTTCTTTCCTTTGCCCGAGAAACTCCCCATCACGATCTGCCTTCCTGCCGCACACTGGCATCGACTCCTACTCTTCAGCCCCACTACTACTCTGTCTTCCTTCCTTCCACACTCCGAACATGATGAAGATCTGCGAACCCTGCGCGCCTGCTGCCATGCCTGCGTCGCACCGGCACCATCGTTGGAGATCTTGCCGCTCTCTTTACACACCCCCGGGAGGCTCTTGCGGCGCCACTTCTAGTGGTGGTACCCTACGGCCCCCTCTAAGGTACTGCTAGTACCAGTACCGCTACAATACACTGTATCTCTTCAAAAACAATTTTACATAACCCAAGTACAACCATTACTACATGTAAAAACAATTTTGGGCATGAATCTGTACCGATTCTGAGCCCATAATTATAAGGTGCAGTCTCATCACCCTATTCCTGGTAGTGACAATATGGTACAGTACTAAAAGTAGTACGAGTAGCGGCAGTAACAGTACGCCATACAGGACCAACTCTGAACTTACAACTGAAATACAAATAGTAGTACTGCAGGAACAATGACGTAAGCGGAGCCTGTGTTTTACAATCAGTGTACCAGTACCGTGTACTGTAGTAGTACAATCCACCTATTACTATTTTACGGATAAATTGTCTATGACAGTCCGATTGACGAGGTGAACTTCGGAACTCCGAGACTCCGCCCAAGCCCGCGCCGGTGGCAGCGGCACTGAAGAGCGGCGATCACTGCCACGCACGGTTTGGTCAAACGGTCAAGTTAAAACCGTTCGAAGAAGACCATGGCCGCGTGGAAAACCAACTTGATCCCTCATCCTGCAGCGCCGATGATTGCTGTCCCCCATCATGACTTACCTGATACCGGTGACCTTCACTTAACTGCGCACAATAGCTCGGAGGCCCGGGGCTGGGCCGCGGCCGCCCAGCCTCAGGGCGGCTAGTGCTGGCGCCGGATGATGGGAACAAGGCCGCTTGCCAGGACTCGACTTATGTATTACTCGGAACTTTAAAGTTCGAGTCTGTCAGGTGACGGCGTGCCGGGCCCGGCGCGGCGCGGCCGCCGGCCGCCCTCAGTGCACCGTAAGTGCCGGTCCGGCGGTTTACATGCCCGCCTCAGAATTGCTTGCCCACAGATCTGGGCGACGTGGGCCGCATGGCAGGAGAGCTGGGGAAGGTGGAAACGCGTGCGAGGATGAGGAGCTCTTCCTCCAACCCCACCGGCTCCTCTCCTGTCGATCATCTTCCTTCTCATGCTCTCTGCTGTGCTCCTCTTCCGTCTCAAACCCCCTTGTCTCCTTCCTCGTCCTCCTCAGTCCATTCCACGCAGGAATGGAAAAAGCGGACTGCAAAGATGGAGAAGCTTTTGGGGATGAGGAGATATGGGAACCGATGGTGAGAGCTCCTAACTTATGATGACACTGATGCCGACATGTTCTCCTCTGCGAATCTTTGCGTGGAGAAGCGTCTCACTGCCTGGTGGTAGGTGGATCTTCAAAGTGTGCATTGCGGTGGGGCTGTGGTAACAAGACTGTGTGCCGTGCTAGCCTTCCTCCCGTGTGATTCCAACTCACAGTCTGTTGGCCCTATCCTCTCTGTATAAGTGGGTGTCAGTCTCGGGCGACGATGAGCAGTGAGGGCGGATCCGGGTATCGATGGGGTGTAACAATTATCAAGGTATCAAGTAAACTTTCACTCGCACACCTTCGGCACAGGTGAGAGGACATACCAGTGAAGGGTCAAGAGCCGTACTTGACGCTGCTCAGGCTTGCAAAGCGGATCGAACGACCATGTCAGGAAGCATGCGAAGCAAACTGGGGTTGTCACGTCGGAGTTGCTGGAAGTGGTACGAGGAAGAACAGAACCTGCTCTCTTCTCACTCAACTGCAGCTCGAGGACACGGGGACATCGACCCTTTCGGACGCCATAGACTTCTTGAACTCGAAGGTCTCCTCCTCTCTCGTTGTCTCCTCCTCTCTCTCTGACATCAGATCAGTTTGGCGCCCTTCCGATCTCCCAGCAGCCTGTTGAGGTCTTGAAGTGGGCTGCTCGGGTCCTGCCGCGACGACGATGGGCGCAAGTACGATGCTGATATTATGATGATGTTGTGAAGTTTTGTTGTGTCGAATTGCTGCGAACATGATTGTTCACTGCCTCCTCAGTGTGTTGGGGGTGCAGAGTGAAGGAGGGATGGAAGTTGGGATCGAGACGTCTTTGTTGATGTGCAGGGCCATGTTTTCAAACTCGAAGACTTGAAACGAGCACTGTGATCGGTGATGCTCTTTTGATTCGATTTGTTGTCTCCGTCAGGTTACAAGTTTCGGCCTGTCTGGACTTGTCATTACCGACATTCTCGTCAAAGAGAAACTCATTCACCGAGCGGAAGTCGTCACTATTGACACTCTACATCTCTTCCCCGAGACTTACGACCTGATAGACAAGGTCAGCTGCTCTGAGCTGACGGCCCTCGCCAGTGTTGCGCTGACACGTAGGGGCTGCAGGCGAAGGCACATTATCACCTGGACAAGCTGAAGGTGTACCGCTGCAAGCATGCAACCACTAGGAAAGAGTTCGAGACGAAATATGGTACGCGAGCTCCGTGCTATCCTTCCGGGCCTTGACTGAGTGTTGATTGAAGGGAGCAAACTCTACCGCGGAGACCCGCTGCTGTACGACTTTGTTTCCAAGATCGAGCCCATGAAACGAGCGCTCAACGAACTGAGGGTCTGAAACTTTTGTGCATGAAGAAAGTTTGTGGATGAGAAATGCATGACTGTTGATTGAGATGATGACGATGATGGGATGCTGGTATGTGCCTGATATGTCGACAGATCGTGGCTTGGATCACAGGCAGGAGGCGATCGCAAGGTTCTGTTTGCATAGTCGGCCATATTGGTGCTAATCTGCGAGCAGGGGGGGAGCGACAGTTTCTCAAGCTCTTCGAGATAGACAAGGGGGACGGAAGGCTAAAGATTAACCCTCTGACGCATTGGAGCAGGTTACCGCCTCTCCGCCTCTCCTCCTGCTCCTGACCTCCTCCTTGCAGGGAAGATGTGTGGGAGTACGTGACGAGAAATCAGATCCCCTACAACAAGTTGCACGATCAGGTCAGCAGGAGAGGAGCAGAAGAAGGAGAAGGAGAAGAAGACGGAGAGCCGATCTTTGTTGCAGGGATATTTTTCCATCGGGGATGAGATGTCGACTGCAAAGGCGACTCCAGAAATGGTTTTCCTCCATCCATCCTGCTCCCATCACATTTCTTCTCGTTTTTACTCCCTGTCCTCTTTCCTACCACCCATCCTCTTTTGCCAGTAGCTCCTGACTTTCTCTCCTTGCCTCTGACCTGCCCTGATAGGGTGAGAGAGCTGGGAGATGGCTGGGAGAGAACAGGACTGAGTGCGGCATCCACCACTCGCAGCATGCGGAGGTGTCCTCTCCTCCTCCACCACAATGATATCCTCCTACTCCTCCTCCTCCCATCCCTTCCTCACTTCCTCCTCTTGCTATTCTTCGTCACCTCCTCCCCAACCTCTCCTTGCGTATTCTCCTTGACTGGCTGCAGTCGATGGAGGGAATGATGAAGCAGGCGGAGCGAGTCCGGGCAGGTGGGACTTGGACGAGAGAAGGGGGAGAAAGAGCAGGAAGGAGGGGAAAGAGGCCGGGGGGGGGGGGGGGGGGGGGGGGGTGGGAGAAGAAGGATGGAATGTGCTGATGTGTTTGTGGCCGTGGTGATGATGGGGAGCGAAAAAGAGTGGAGAGGCGAAGAAAACAGGAAAGGAAAAGGGGAAGGAGAGAGGGAGAGGGAGAGGGAGGGAGAGAGGTGGATCAGGCTACTGACGAGTCGAGAAGGGTATGTGTGGGAACAAGGAGCCCTACGACGAGCAAAGGAAGCAGGAATCACTCAGGTAGCTATTGGCCCTCCTCCCCTCTCCTCCACTCCTTGTCATCGTTCCTAGATGCTCCAGTCTCTTCTTACTTGATCTGATTCTTCATGCTCTCCCGGTTTCATTCCGCGCTGATCTTTTGCGTTAGGTCACTGAGGAGAACTTCGAAGAGGAGGTGGTGAAGAGCACCAAGGTTGACAACTTGTTTTGCCTTCCTCTTCCTCTTCGTCCTCTTCATCACCCTCCTCCACTACCACCAAGACCATCTCTACTTCCTGAACTCGACAATTCGCTGATGGACTTGCGAATCGTCATCTCCTTGTGCTGCCCACACTCGCTCCTTTCTCCTTCAAGTCACACCTCTTCGATCTCAATCCTCCATTCATTATGATCATTTTCACCTCAATCATCATTATTCGCCTCGACCTCCTCCTCCTCCCGTTGCTCATCATCATCATCATCATCATCATCATCATCATCATCATCATCATCATCATCATCATCATCATCATCACCATCACCATCATCATCATCATCCTTACCATCATCATCGTCATCCTTACCATCATCATCATCATCCTTACCATCGTCTTCCTCCTCACATCCTCTTGCCGATCTTTGTAGCATATTCTCTTGGAGATCTACGCCCCTTGGTGTCCCCATTGTCGCAATTTAGAGCCCCAGGTCTGCTTCCTCATTGATCGATCGTGACGGTAGAACTTACTGCTGGAGATTTACGATCCTTCTTGCCCTCATTGCCGTCAATTTGAACCAAAGGTTCCCTGCCTTCTCCCTCCCTCCCTCTCTGTCTCCCTCCCTTTCGTCCTCCCTCTCCCTCCCTCCTTCTAAAACCCGCCTCATCGCCCCAGCCCTTTCTCCCTTCCAGCACCTCCACTTTTCCTTTTTCCTGCTCCTCTTGTTCTCCTTTCTCTCCTTTCTCCTTTTCTCACCCGTCTCCTTCCTCTCCCCATCTTCTTTCGTGAGTCGCTTCCTCTGACTTCTCAACTCCCAAGTTCAATGCCTTGGCACATTTCCTGCGTGAGAAGGAGAAGACCCGAGGTACGGCCGCTCTTCCTTCCTCCTCCCCGTCTCCCCTCCTCTCCCTCTCCCCCATCGCATTGTCGCAATGACTCATTGTGTTTCCAGATCCAAACTCGTGGACCAATCCAGGACCAATCAAGCTGGCCAGGATGGACGGTTACCAAAATAAGGTGTCTCCTACTCAGATGCACCCTCCCGCCTTCTCCCTCCCGCCTTCCTCCTCCTTTCCTCGCTCTCCTCCCTTCCTCTCTTCTCCCCTTACTCTCTTTGCAGATCCCGGCGAGGTGGTCCAAGATGATTCAGTTCGACTCCTATCCTTCCATGTGCTTCTGCGTCGCATCCTCCTCCTCTTCTAATGCTCTTCCAGATATCTCGTATACCGAGGCATGCAGATCAAGCCGAGCAGATACCTGGAAAAGAGCCACGAGGCCGAGGTCATTCTCCTTCCCCTTCCTTGTCCGTGCCTTGTGCTTGCGCGTCATTGCGCATGCTCCTGTCTGTGCTTGATTTTCCTCCCACTCTCTTCCCATAGAGCATTTGATACTTATGCTGAACGGTTGCAGGACATGGAGCGGTGGATAAGATTTGAGATTCACCGCATGGAGAGAGTTCGTGCCGATCTTGCTTCTCTGCAATGATTCGCGCTCAAGACGATTGCGATCAGTCCGATAACCTCAAGGAATCCTATCTATCTCGACTCAACAGGAACCAACTGTGAGGTTTCAACACTGTCATAACAACAAGGACGAGCTGGGCGGTTGCACATGCATACAGGCGTGTGGAGCTATCAGCAGCGCAGTCTTGATGTTTTCAGCTTAAGGGTTTCAGTCGCGTTCAGACTCCAAATTCTCAACATCTCCAATTCCGCAACGTCACTCACAGTCTTCCAAATTATTGATTTGAAATGAAAAACTACCCTTAAAGATCTAACTCCACCACATCCTTCTCACTTCATCTCAGCAGATGTTGCCAAGACGCTTTAGTACTCCGATTGCTTCTTCTTGCTCTGAAAACTGCCAATAACAATCAGACTGTAGAAAGTCATCCCGGATCAACCTGTTGGCATACAAGGAAGAATCCCCTTCCTTGTTCTCCTTGTCGGTGTGAGAGTAGACAGGCTTGTACTTGAACGATGAGATGTAGCTGCAATCAAACATTCAACGATTTCTGTCTTTGATGTCATTCTTGTGTTTCACCTGTCATCTCCATTGTACAACTCAGCTGATCCATGATCCCACCTGTGATTTGCGAATGAATTCAAGGGGGAACACAGGTTATCGAAGGATGCGCATCCTGATATTATATGAACATAGGTCCTTTCTACCCTCACATTGCACAAGGGTCATCTAACCGATCTATTGTTTTCTCTGATTACTTTCATGAAAATCTTTGGAGCAAATCTTGGAATCGATGTTCGCACACACCTACCAACCATTCCTGGGTTCCTGGTCAACATCGCTCTCCATCTTCCTTCCCATTTTGCATCTGCGCTTTCTATCGCCAACTCGTTCCACCGACCTGCTCAACCCCACGTCTCCATGCTACCTTGCCCCTTCGCTACGCTTCTCGTAAGTTTTGCTCTCCCCTCCATCTTCGTCTTCGCAGACTGAGCTCTAGTAACTCTCTTATCGCGATGTTCTCCTTGTCTTCTCTTCTCCTCCTCTCTTCTCTTCTCCTCCTCTCCTCCTCTCACCATTTCAAGCTGTTGACCGCCACAAGCCCTGAGAACATTGTCTGCCGGAAATATCCGAGCCTGCCCCTACCCCACCCCCAATTCTCCACAGACCACCCTCATGATACCCTAGGCTTGTCGGGGGTGATGAGAGCAGCAGATTCGAGACGGGCCCGCCTCGGTGAAAACAGTACCGGCGCCGGGTCCGGGCCCGGCCCGGCCCGGCCGCGGGCCGGGCGCCGCCGTACCGTACTACGGTATACTTTGAGTAAAGTATACGGTCCGAGTCAGGGCCAACTTCCTTGCCGGGCCACTCAGTGTCAGACCGTCAAGTTCTGGCAGTGGGGCCCGGCACCACCGGGGCCCGGGCCGCGGCGTACTAGGCTTATCACGTACTACCATACGGCAATGACTCAAAGTACTTAGCGGCCCTTTACTCAAAGTGAAGTACCGTAGGTTACTCTTAGTAGCACGGGCCGCGAGTCCAGCGCCGTTTGCCGGCCGCCCGGCCGGCGGCCCTCCCATCATTGTGGGTCGGCGTCACGGTGGCATGGCACTGAGACCGCGGCAGTGATAAGGGAGCCGTTAAGATGCCAACGGGGAGCGAGGTAGTTGCGACCCCCTATATTTATATCTGATTTTAGCGGGGGTTTCGGAGGCTAAGATTAGCAAATGCTGACTGGGGGTTGGTAGGGGCTGCCTTGATGACTGAATTTTTATTTAGAGGAGAGATACTGTGAATATTTGATCGAGAATCGAATCTTCAACATCTACATTTGAATAATCAGAGCCATATTTGTCTTCATGACCTTAAATTTCAAACATGCAAGTATTCCCACCCCCGTGGGCCCTTGCAACCTCTGGTACCCACCTCCTTGCAAGGAGTAGCCTCCTAGAGTTGGCCCTGAGGGGCCGCACCCCTGCGAAGAACCGGTCCATGACCCCCTCCGAGGGCCTCCCCACTGACCCGGACCTACCTGAAAAAATATACCACCCTGGCATCCGAATAATCTGTAGCACCCTACCCCCTTTACCCCACCAACTCAGGGGCCGAGTACCCCAACACGCTAGCCAGGGCTACCCACCCTGTTCCGACGAGTCAAGCATGGAATCCCAGTACCCCCTCCCCCCCTGAACTTCTCCACCCTTGTGCCTCTGATCCATGGGCGGCTGAACCGCTCAGTGGTTGTGAAGGAGGCTGGAGAGGACGAGAGCTGGCGGGAAAGAGGAAGAGAAACCTCGATCTCAGCAGGAAGAAGAGAGCGAGAGAGAGCCCCTCATGCAAGGAAAGGAGGAAGGGCGAAATGAGAGGGAATAGTAGGTGCAGCAAGCAGATGTGGAGTGAGGCAGGAGGCCGAAGAATGGTTGGGTTAGGGAGAGGGGCAAGGGGGACAGGGAGAGGGTTGGGAGGGAGAAGAAGTGGATGGTGGATCGTAAAATCTTGAAGTTCTCTGGCGAAGGAGGAGAACAAGGTAAAGACGGGTGGAGGGACACTCATTGGTATCGAACGAGGCGAGGTGATACAGCGTGAGCTCTAGAAAGGATCAGAGACAAAGATTGGTATCGAGTCATACCAGATAGGTGAGGGTCAGACCACAAAGACACAGTTCACTACTCCTTGGTGGAGAGGGCAGGAAGTGATTGGTAAGTCGTCAGAGACTGCAGAATAATTCCGACATATTTGAGAGATGTCACAGAATGTTTGAGGGTGTCTCGTGCTGGAGAATTGATTTCAACGGTGGTACCTGACTGAGAAGTTCAACAGTGTCCAAGTCCATGTCTGGTCATCACCACGAAGGGTTTATCAGAACTACATCTTCTGGATCAAATCAATCCCATGCTGGGTCTGCAAGGAGAAACTCAGGAATCATTGCCTCGGTCTACAAGAATGATGGTAAGCGACAAGTCACACCATTCCATCGGAACTGATGCTTTCGGAAGAACCTGTTCATCACAACCACCCTCCTGCTGCTGAAACCTTCACTCGAGTGCCGACGGATCCTGGTAGTGGAGTGAGAAGGACAAGTTCGTCCGGATGGAACCTTCCGCCCGAGCAGGAAGCAATCTTTGAGAGACTTTCGTCGGTCAAGGATGGTGAGGACTCTTGTCTCGATGCTACTTTCGTTGACACCCAAGGGCCTGGCAGAGATGAAGGGAACCATCCAAGAGACTCAGAGGCAGCCGTCTGGGACTCTTTCTCTGGTTCCTCACTTTGATGCAGGATTCGTCAGAGTATGGGAGCGACGCTTTCTGAATATTTCAAGAAACTGCTGCATCTTCACCCCACTGAGGTAAGCTGCACTTTTCTCTCTCTCATGCCTCCTGCTCAACTGTTTTTTATCAGTTTGACGAGGAGCTGAAAAGAAAATTCGACTATTTTGACAAGGATAAGAATCTTTATCTCGATCGGTGCAAATCACCTTGGATCCTGGGTGACCTGATTCTGATTTCTGACTCACAGCCAAGAGTTGTGTTGCGCCATGTCGGAGCTCAGTGAGCGTCCTTCGGAAGAAGAGATCGATACATTCTTGTCTGAGTTTGATGTGGTAAGGGGACTTCGTTTGCTTCTCTCATATGCATCCTGACATACATGTGGCAAGGATGGCGACGGGAAAGTCGACTTTGTAATTGTCATTTGCGAAAATTGAGATCACTTACCTACTTCAGGATGAATTCGATCATATGGTACGATATCACTTGAAGCTCGGGCATACGTGCCATTGCAGAGTAAGCCCTTGACCTTGAGGCCTGCCGCTGAGTCTAACTGCTGCCAGTTCTGTACTGCGAAACAAAACTCGCTGAGTGATACCATGACTTCGGAGAAGAAGAAGTGAAGTCAAGCTTTTTGTCATCGCTATGACTTTAATTTGAAGTGCGCTTTTTTTAATTTGTATTTGTTAAGCGACCCACTCATGAGTTGAGACTCCTCGTGAGAAGGATCTCTTTCAGAGCGCGTTCGCCAGCTCGTTCAAGTGTGCGCGTAGCTGCTGAGCAGCAGCAAACGACATATCCCGGGGAACGGAAACACGGTCACGAAGATACGTGAGCCCCTTCTTGATGGAGCTGCTGGGCAAGCCTGGGGACAGTCGAGAGAAGTCAGCAGCCTCCATGAGCATGGCGTCCACCAGATGCCTGAGCGCCGCGTCCATCTGCTAGCAGCGTCAGAAAAGTTTGCGGGCCTTAGTGCCTACACCTGCTGGGTGAACCTCAGATCGGGCTTGGCGTTGGGGTCTGAGAGCGGAGCAGACACGCGAGGTGAGCCCCTAGCTCCCACGGCTCGCAGGCAGAAGGGAACAAGTTTGTCTCTGTTCTCAATCACTCGCGCCGCAGCCTCTCGTCGCGCCATGTCAGCTCCTGCGTTCAAGGGCTCGATGCCCTGTCTGACTGGCAGGCGCCAGAGCTCACCGTCGATCTCCTTGCGGTACTTCTCAGCCTCAGGGTGAGAGAAGCAGTTTCCGATCTGAGGAGGAAGATCATGACAGTGCGTGTAGTAGTCGCTCTGAATCCCCTTGAACGAGTCCCGCTCCTCCATGGCTTTGAACCACAGCTCTACGTGTGGCCAGCGCGCAGGGTCACGGATAACCAGCCCCTTGTAGTAGGGAACTGACGCCGCCATGCGCTCCAGGAAGGGAGCGAACATGAAATCGACCAAACTGATCCTGTCTCCAAGGAAGAAGCGTCCCTCTTTATGCCCGTTAGCCACAGCGATGTCATTAGCTTCCTTGAGCTCCTCGTCGACTTGGGAGAGGAGAGACTCGAAATTGATCTGCTGCGAGTCTCCAAAGCGAGACGGAGAGACCAACCAGCGGAACCAGGAGCTAAAGATCTGTCGCTCTAGCCTCAGCAGCTTCCCAACTCGAGGGGCCTGCGGGTCGGAGCTGGCAGGGAGCATGGGGTTCTGAGGAAAGACGTCTTCGAGAGTCTGCATGATGTCGTTTGACTCGGTGATCACCTGCCCGTCGATCTTGGCTACAGGAATCCCTCCGCTCGGCTGCATCCTCATGAACCAGTCGGGCTTGTCACCGTAGCATCTCATGTTGACCTTCTCCACACGATACGGTACTCTCTTCTCCTCTAGATGAAGCCATACCTTCTCGCAGTACGGACACCAGGCTGCCTTGTCTCGATACAGGATCACCCGAGGCTCCGTGTCGTCCGAGGCCTCGAACAGACGAACACTCGCCTGATGGTTTGCTGGTCCTCGTCCGCTCGCCACCACGCTCGGCCAGCTTCGTTCCTCCGCCGTCTGCAGGCTCGCGAGCTAGAGCACAGCAGGGGCGTCACGGACGAGAGGGCGAGCACAAGTCACCTTCTGCTGCAGGTCTTCCCAGCTCGGCGCCTGGTCCTTCCACGGTGAGTTCGGGTCGTCAGAGCTGGACTCTCCTCCTCCTCGCAAGAACTTGTCCATCCCCTCCACCAAGCCTCCAAACTGAGCCAAGATCGCGAGAGGTCTCGTCCTGAGCCAGGGGTCACTGGAGGAGAAGGACAGGAGGAAGTCAGGCAGTCTCGACCTTGGGGGTCTTGAGAGGCGACTGAGAGCCGCGAACTTGAGCGACTTGAATGGAACTGGCCGCCCAGCCACGTGAAACGCCTGGCTGACCTGCAAACTAACAATGGCAAGCAGCGGGTACAGCTGAGCACAAAACAAAGGAAGTCGTCCCGAACGTCGCGCAATGTCTCGCGGAAATCGCGAAATCATCCAGAGCAGCCGAGACGAAGAAAAAGATCCGAGCGGCAGGGTGTGAAACTAAAAGATAGCCATCAGTCAAACAGCAAGCGATGGCTTTGTGTCTAATCATAGACAGAGGAAATGAGAGACTCCATCAGCAAAGCAAAGCTCTGGAATTTAAACCTTCCCGTCTCTCAATCTTTTCTTCTCGTTTGGATCTATTTTCCGCATCACTGGTTCTTCAACCATAACATGCTGGCACAAACTCATGTTTGCAATTTTTCCAATCCCCCCCCCCCCCCCCCCCCCCCCCCCCCGCCTCCTCTTCCTTCGTCGCCCAACCATACTATCAACTACGCTGCCTTCGTTTATGTGTCTCATCGACGGTATGAGGGCCGAAATATGTTCAAGGTCTACGAAAGGTGGGGGGTACGTAGGGATAGGGGTGGGTCCAATTCTTCGGGGGAATTCAAAAGCAACTGCAAAGGAAAATTGTATGATATTGAAGGGTAGGGTACAAATTTGGTGGGGTAGTAGCCCAAACACAGGGGTAAGGGGTGGATTGCGAGGCCGACATGTCGAGGATGTTTGTGGTAGGGATGCTGATGATGAGGGTGGGAGCGACAATGGCGCGACAAGCGAGAGACGTGGAAGCGACTCTGCGGCTGTTTCATCCTCCTCCTCCTCCTTCCTCCCTTCGCAACTTCCAGACCTCCGCTTCTTCCTCTCTCAGACCAATCATGGCCCCGCCATCCTCGCCAGCAACTCTGTTCCCATGTCCAGCTCCCAGCGGATCCAGAGGGGATCTTTTGGGATTCGTTTCTGGTTTTGCTCCTGGAGTGAGACTCGTTTCCTCCTGTTGCTCCCTCAGCTCAAGAGAACGCATGAGTCCTGCCATGCGCGTTCCTGGCGTCGCAAGGACCCTTAGCATGCTTGCCGGTGACGGTGGCAAGAAGAAAGTAGTGTTCCTCGGGACCCCAGAAGTAGCAACAATCGCCTTCCGAAAGATCTTCGAGGCATCAAAGGCAGCAGGTGAGGGGAGGGAGCACAGGAGCAGCTCAGCGGCTCACTTACTCCCACCCCTCCTCCTCCAGATTCTACCTTCGAGGTCTCGGCCGTGGTCTCGAATCCGCCAGCGAAGGCGAACAGAAAGAAGGAGCTGCAGGCGAGTAACCGCACTGTGATGCGATGCGATGCGATGCGATGCGATGTGAGAATCTTTCTTTCTTGTCCATCTGACACGCTTGACGAGCAGAAGAGTCCCGTGCATCTCGCGGGTGAAGATGCAGGCGTTCAGGTCTGGACCCCCACAGGGATTATGAAGAAGTTCGAAGACTCGGCCGAGTTTCTTGAGAAGCTGGAGGTCAGGAGGGGAGGGAGCATGGGTGTGAGGGAGAAGATGGAGAATGGAGGGAGAGATGGAGGGAGAGATGGAGGGAGAGAAGGAGGGAGAGAGGGAGAGAGGGAGAGAGGGAGCGAGGCTCCCATCCTCCAACCGACGTCTGAACAAGTACTCATAGAGTCTGAGCCCGGATCTCTGCATAACCGCAGCCTACGGTCAGTTCCTCACCAAGAAATTCCTCACAATCCCCAGGTCTTGATCGCACGCAGCAACGAGCATCTGACGTGTACGGGTAGGCTGGGCACAGTCAACATCCATCCTTCTCTTCTTCCCAAGTACCGTGGAGCCTCTCCCGTTCCTCGTGCGCTGGAGGATGGAGTTGCTGGTGGGGAGGCTGAGAGTCAGCTGGGCGATGCTGAAGTTTGTGCGGCAGTGACGGGAGTGTCCGTTCTATTCACCCAGTTCGAGATGGACGCGGGTCCCATTATCCGCCAGGTCACGATCCCTGACATGTCGACGAGCCTGATCGCCGCACAGGAGGAGTATCCTCTGACAGGCGACGAGAAGGCAGATCAGCTTCTGCCCATCCTCTTTGACCGGGGAAGGTTCGACTCTCTTGCCGCCCTGCCCCCCCTGCTCCCTCCCTCTGTTTGTCCCTCCCCCTCCCTCCTGCTGTTCCTTCCTGCTCATGAGGAGATCAGTGAGCTCCTACTGTCTGCACTTCCTGGCATCTTCGAGGGCAAGTACCAGCAGGACGGAACGGGATGCATCATACAGGTGCGATCCTCTGCTGGGGCTGAATCCTGACGCTCCTCTCAGAACGACGAGGAAGCGACGTACGCGGCTAAGATGAACAAGGAGGAGAGCAAACTTTGGTTCACGGAAAACGCCAAGTACATGCACAACAGGGTGAGTGTTGCTGCTGCTCCTGTATCCTCACTGATTTCGAACAAGGTGCGGGCCTTTGCCGGTTGGCCGGGGACGACGATGGATCTTGTCATCAACAGCGGCTGCCCGGACGAAGAGAAGATGACGGTGAGGCTATGACGTCAGGGGCCCTGCTGGGCTGCCAGCTGAGCTGAGCTGACTCGTCTGCAGGTCAAGATCGTTACCAGTAGGATCCGCCGAGAGCAAGGAGGAGCGGTGCTAGGCGTTCATGCCGTCAATTTTGATCCCAAGGGTCTCTCGTGCTTCCATGCTTGTCGTCCTTGTCCAGATCCAGTTGTTCACCTCTTTGTTTCCTTCCATCTCGATCTCATCCTTCTCCAACTCCATCTGCGATCCCTTCCTCTCTCTCCCTCCCCTCCTCATTCGTCTCGCGCACCTTCACTTGCTCGCTAACGAGGCAGCAGGGAACGCGTTGGTGATCACTTGCGACGACGGGAGTCAGTTGGATGCGATTGAAGTTCAGCCACCGGGCAAGAAGGTCGCTGCTCCTGCTTCCTGTCAGTTTCTGACCTCCCGCTAGCCGATGGACGCCAAGTCCTTCTGGAACGGCATGAGAGGCCGCAGCGTGGAAAGGGCGAGGGTGCCATGGTCGACTGGGAAGGTTCCTACCTAGTGGCTGAGGAGGAGGTTGTGTGGGGAAAGAAGGGGTAGGGTGGATATACATAGATTTCATTGACCTTGGTCTGGTTGGTCTGGCTGGTTTGAGGGGAATTGAATCTGTTTCATCTTCTTCTTGTTGTCGTTGAGATAAACTCGAAGGCCCTTGCGGATCACAAAGTTGTCCTCGGGCTTCAGCGGAGGCTCTTCGTGCCCCTGGAGGCGCTCGATTGCTGCGAGCCATTCGTCTATAGTGCAGCATTTCTTCACTCCTGGTAGAGAAGCTTCTGTCCTGTGCTCGCAGTACGACTGCCAAAACCTGCGGAGCAAGCATGCCAGTCAGATATCCTTACTCCTCCTCGCCCCCAACTCTCTTCCATTCCCCTCGCTGTACCTAAATCATTCCTCTCCCCCACAGGGTCCTCTTCTCCTTCCTATCCCCCCTCCCCTTCGACCTCTGCTTACTTCTCAAGGAATTCGTCTTCCTCTTCTTTCATAGTCTTGGGTCTTGGAGGCACTTCAAGCTTTCCCAGCGGCAGTCCCATCTTGTTCCACAGCACAGACGCACAGAGTCCTTCCCCCGCAAGACGAGCATATTCCATCGCTGTCTGGTTGTCGTTATTGAGCAGGAAAATGTCAGGATTCGAGTTGGACAGGATCATCTCCACGAGGTCCACCCATCCCATCACAGCCGCTTCATGCAGGGCGGTGTTGCCATCGTTGTTGGCGTGATTCACGCATATGCCCGCGTCCAGCAGCACCTTCACCGTCTGCTCCTCGTTCTGCAGCACCGCATGATGGAGGGCTGTGCGGTTCTCAACGTTTGAGTTGTTCACGTTGGCCCCGAGCTCGATGAGGACGCGGATCAGAAGGTGGTGACCCTGCGTCGCCGCGAGGTTGATGACGTTGTTGCCGTCCATGGTCAGGGCGTTGATGTCTGCCCCGGCGTCAAGGAGGATGCGAGCCACCTGCAGGTTCCCTTGAGACGCAGCGATATGCAGAGCCGTGTACTGAAAGAGGTTTCGCTCGTCGACGAAGATGCCCTTCTTGAGGAGGTACCTCACCGCCTCTATCTTCCCTTCCAGTGCCGCCACATGCAGAGCCGTCTGCCCCTGGCTGCTCCTCGCCGTGATGTTTGCCCCCAGCCTCAAGCACGTGCGCATGGTCGGCACAGACCCGTTCTCTGCCGCGTAATGCAAGGCCGTCCACATGCACATGGACTCGTCTTGAGAAGTGATGGAAGCTCCATTCTTGACCGCCTTTCTGATCAAGTCGCTGTCAACCTTCTGAGCTGCTTCAAACAGAGCTGTCTTGGCGTTGCTGATGCGCTCTCGTTCATTGGCAAGAAAGCTCATGCTCATGCGAGGCGCTGCCGCCTCCTCCTCCTCCGAATGCTCCGACTCGTTTTGAGCGGGGAAGGAAAAAGTGGAGTTGACCTTGGGTTGAGCCTGACGCTCTATACAAAGGAAGCACATCAGGGGATGGAAAGTTTAGGTCCGGCTCACCTAGCCAACGCAGAGTGTCATCCGATATCTCCTCGACATCATCGTAAATCGATCCCGCTTCATCGTACACTTCCTCCATTTTCGTCGACCTCTCCGACTGCTGCGTTTGTTCTGGATCTGAACCGGAATCACCCAGATTTACAGCCGAGAACTTTCTCGCTTTCTTATTTGGTCTCTCGTGAATGTCTGAGCTTGAGCTTGATCCCCCACGAAGCCTCGGGAACGTGATGCGGCTGTCGCTGCATGCACATTTAGCAGTTCGGGAATGGAGGAGGCTAAGAGTCTGCTCAAAGTTGGCAGACATTCTGATAGCAAAGATGATCATCGTGAGCTGCCATGCTCCCGCCATGCTTCCCGCGCCTCTTCCCTGCTCCCTGCTCCCTTACCTCCCTTCTTGCATGGTTTCTTGCTCAGTGGCTCCTGACGCGGGCCCGACTAAAGCCAGTAAAAAAGTGCCGGCCGGGTGATCGGACTCGGACTGCCGGGCCGCTCCCCGGAGTCCCGGAGGCTCACTGAGCGAGTCACATGAAGCCCGGCGCCGTTAACTTGAACGGACACGTAACGATGATCATCGGAACTTCTTTCATTTGACTGAGCCGGGGGGGCAAGGGGGTGGTCAGTGGACTAGTTCACTGCGATCCCGAGTCCGTCCGGCTGACCAAGAGCTTCGTCAACGCCGAGCACTTGTATTTATATACAGTAGGGGTGATCGCTTCCTACACAGGGGCGTCGAGGCCCGTGAGCAAGCGGGTGCCGGCGCTTCGACAAGCGGTCCGACGTCAGGCTCCAAGACAGATCGGACGAGGAGCAGCGAGAACAACACTCGAGTGACACGCTAAGCTGCCTGACATGTAATCGAACAGAACCTCCTCCCTCAAGACCTCTACTGTACACAGCACCGCGAGCCTCTGGTTGATGTGTTAGCCTGAGCGACGGCTCCTCTCTCCTCCAGCAGGCGTCTGATGGGGCTCGAGAGCGACTGGTCGATGGAAGCATTGCGACACACAAGCACTCTCTCGTATCGATTGAAATCAGCCGTGAGAACAAAGAATCCTTCATCCCTCAATGTCCAGGTCTTGATCGACCCGTCAGATGTATACCGCGTGAAAAGCCTTTTCCCTTCTGGCCCCCAGATCAGCTGCTCCAATCCTCCCTCAGGCCCCTCCAGCTCCTGCCCCCTCCCCGTCTCTGCATCCCACACCCACGCTCCCCCTCCTGTCTTCGACACGCCCGCGAGCCTCCTCCCGTCTGGCCCCCAGATCAGCCCTGTCACTCCTCCCTCAGGCCCCTGTAGCTCCTGCCCCCTCCCCGTCTCTGCATCCCACACCCACGCTCCCCCTCCTGTCTTCGACACGCCCGCGAGCCTCCTCCCGTCTGGCCCCCAGATCAGCCCTGTCACTCCTCCCTCAGGCCCCTGTAGCTCCTGCCCCCTCCCCGTCTCTACATCCCACACCCACGCCTGACCACTTAACTTCGATACGCCTGCGAGCTTCCTCCCGTCCGGTCCTAAGCGCATTGAGTGTTTCCCAGCCGTGTTGAGTTCGCGCTCGCGAGTGCATACTCCCAGCTCCACGTCCATTGTTTGAATGCAGTATTTCTCCCTGTGCGTCCACCAAGCGATCCTCTCGTCCCCCATCCAGCCTATCTCCCCTATCTCCTCCTCTCTCAAAAGCTCAAGGCAGCATTCTCCTGCCTCAACGTCCCACACCCTTATCCTTCCCCTCCTTGACCCCGACGCCAGCCTCTTCCCATCAGCCCTCCATCGTATCATATCGATCTCTTCCCCTCCACCCCCAAGCTCCCTCATACACTTACCGGTCTCCACATCCCACACCCGCATCTTCCCGTCCTTCGACACTGTTGCAAGAGCCTCTCCCCCGGGCTCGAACGCCCCGCATCTCACCTCCTCGCACTCGATCCTCACTGTCGCCCTCTCCCCAAAGTCAGCTCCATCCAGCTGCGCTCCCTCCAGCCGCGTCTCCACAAAGTATCCGTGGCTCGCGTCCACCCCGGAAAGGTCAGCCCGCCTCAAGTCCGTCCGATGGAAGATGCCGTTCCTCAAGATCGCCTCTGCCAATCGCACCCCCGACAGGTTTAGACCCGACCAGCTCACGCTCGCTGCTACCAAGATCGTAGCCGCGTTTGCTGACGCACTCCCCGTCGCCTCGCTTCCGTCCTCCCGCGAGGCTCTGATGACGTCAAACAGCCTCTCCTGGTACTTGCGCTTGCTCTGCACGACAATGGCGTGCTCCTTGATCGTCTCGACCTCGCCTCGGAGGTTTCGCACCGACAGACTCGCTGGTGCTCCATCAATCTGTGCTTGAAGCTGCGCGAAGGTTGCACGGGCAAGGAAGAAGCTGCGCAGCATGTCATGGGCAAAGCTGACTTCAAGAGTGTTCTGATGCTTGTGCACCTTCAGTCTAGTCAGACATCCCCTCAGAAGCCAGTATCCTAGCTTCTTCTCAACTTTGCCTTCTCTCATTGAAAGATTGAAAGGCGGGCCCGCCAGAAACGAGCCCTCTGCCTTATGTAGGATGAAATTCTTATGCTCCATGAGCATGTGAAGGCAGAGCTGTTGAGCAGCGTTGGAATACCAGGCCATGAAGTTCCCGTCATCAACCTCTTCTTCCCGTACCTTGATAGCCATGTTCACATTCTGCTTAAGCTTATCCCATTCTCTCCTGTACCATTCCTTCGCGTACTCCTTGTGTATGTTATGCCGAGTGAGTGTATACTTTGGCTTCTTTATGAACTTCCGGTGCAAGGAGGGAAGCACGACCAGCAATACCTTGAGCGTGTAGGGCGTGCTCACTATAAATTGAAGCTCTGGCATCGACCTGATCGCCTCGTCGTACTGCTTCTTGCTCCACTCAGTATGCACCCGCTTTCTGATATGGTTATCAATGTATTGGTTTACTTGTTCTTTGTTTGACAGGCTCAATTCGCAAACCCAGGCAACTTGTAGGGCATCTCTCCCTTCAAGTCCAGGAGGCCAGAACAGCGTGTTGGACTTTCCTTCTTTCTTGAGATAGCCACTCCTGCAAGTGACAATCGTCTTGATCCCTCTGCAGCCTGCCAGCTCCTTGAACACCTTCTCCACAACATTCTCCATGGTCCCCATCTCATCATACGAGTCCAACACTACAACGAACGTGTGTCTGCGCACGAAATTTCGCCAAGACCGCTCCCCGCCCGATGTCAGCGATCCTACTTCCTCGAAATACTCTTTCACAGACCTACACCGAGGTAGGTGGAGGTATACCGGATAAGGCTTTCCCACCTGCCATGCCTCGCCCATCTGAATCGCCCACCTCTTGCCCAATGTTGACTTGCCTGCTCCTGTCATTCCTAGTAGCAGCAGCACGCGCTTACCCGTGTTGTGCATGAACTTGTCCAGAAGGTGGTCCGATGACACTCTAGCTGTCGCATCGACGTCGGGGTCGGTCTCGGAGCAGCTCGTCTCAACGAAGCACTCCATCGCGTCATCAACGCTCTCCTCATCTCCGAGCATCTGCTTCAGGATCTCGCGGAGACGCCTCGGCAGGCTCCCATACGTCCACTCGACTATCCTCCCCGTCTCGATGTCCACCTTGTCGGCAAAGCCGTACATGCAGCTGTGACACCACGCGTTGATGACCATGTTCGCCTTGAGCGGCAAGAAGGGATCGCTTTGCGACGTCACCATATGAATGGAAACCTTGGCTGGCTGCTCCAGCTCCTTGATAGTGCGATAGTCTTCAAAGAAAAAATCGATGGTGTTACCGCCTGCTGTCAAGAGCCCTCCGTCTGCAGTGCCGTGAGTGCCCGTGTTGATGTGGATGGATTGATCTAGTCTAGTCATGGCGTGCAGAACCTCCTTCACGTCCTCTTCCGTTACCGGGCCGTCACTCTCCCAGAGGATCTGCCCGGAAGCAAGGCTGGAGGCAAACATCCTGCGCTGCCTAGACGATCCGAGGACGTATCGTCCTTGAGGTGTCACGATCATACCCAGCGCTTCTGCATCCTCCTGGAGATCAAACTTCCGTCCGAGAACCAAATCATCGCTGGAGACAACAATGCCTCGTGGATCATTTGCGGCCGTCGTACTCTGAACTTTCTTGCAACTTCTCTCCCGCTCCTCCTCCTCCTCCTCCTCCTCCTCGTCCCCCTCTTCCTGGTTTTCTCGACTCGGACTCTGGTATGTCTTGTAGCAGATCTCCTGCTCCGCACCTTCCCGGTGCTTCGTGGCAGGGTGTGCCATCAAAGTGAGCCCGAGCTCTCTCGCTTGAGTCTGCAGGTCATGCTTGGGTCCAGCACGCAAGCCATCGGCAGAGACGAGGCTTCCTCGGTAGCCGCTTCTTCCGTCTCCCTCGGACCTTGATCGCTTCTCATCTCCTCTCAGAGTCCAACCCGACCATGCCGCTGCCACCCTGCGCTTCATGGGCAGCTGGTGGACAAAGGCCTTTCTCCCTGAGGCGGACATGCCGTCAAGGGTCGAGTAAGGGAGGCGGGCCTGAGTGATCATGGTAGTGATTGGCGAGTCTTTTACTCAAAGTTAAGTAAAAAATCAGTCATGTTAGCGGCGGCCCAGGGAAAAAAAAGGTCAAACCGTTTGAGTGGGGCTGTAGTAGCACTTCCACGAACTTTGACCCGGTACACTTTCCTAGTAGATGACTGAGGAGCTACTACGAGTCCACTGAGCCAGTATGCCTTAGCTGAGAAGAGAGTACTGCAGGTACTGAAAGTAGTACTGGTAATGAATGTGGTACGGTACACGCTGTTGTACCAGGAGAAGTGAGGCATTTGTACTGAGAGTTGTACTTGTACGGGTTTCTTAGCTACCAGACCGCATTTATACTCCCCGCCCACTCGCTTCTGCTCTACTTCGACCCGCCTCTTCCCACGTGTCCCTCCTCCTCCCCCTAGTCCATCCTCCTCCCCCTAGTCTCTCCTCCTCCTTGTTCCTCCTTCTGCTGCCGCGCTCTAGCACGCGCTCTCTGTCTTCCCCCCTTGATTGGCGTGCTTTCTTGCAGGTTTCGAACGAGTCGGCGCCATGAGCGATTATCGCGACAGCGACGTGCTGAAAATCTACATAGCGGATAGGATCAGAAACGAAGTTCCTCGCATCGAGAGGTAACGGAGCAATACAGCTGTTTGCGTCTGACTTGTTGGCTTTCACAGCCCTATCCAACTCAAATGCCAAGATTTCAGCAGCATACCGCAAGTCTTGGCAGAGGTGAAGCGCAAGCTCAGCAAACTGGGATGGTCAGGAGAAGAGGTGATCAAATCCATACCTGCTGTTTCTCACGCATGCCGAAGGAGCTGAAGCTTTGCGCTATGAGTGGTGAAGGCGGTGAGCTGAAAGATTTCCAAGATTTGTTGTCAAACTTCCAAGACAGTGCGTGCGAAGTGCGCCTGGTATACGATGGTGAGCGACATGAGCCGTGCGGCAAGAATGCTGATGTTTGTTTGTGCTGACTCGGTCTCAGTCAACGATACGTGTGAATGGATCACTAGTATCGCTCCCAACAAGCGGCGACTCATCGAGGGCTCTATCAGCAACTACACATTTCTTTCAGCTCTTGGGGAGCTGTTGGACAACGCGATCGAAGCCGTCATGCAGACTGGAATCGAAGAGAGCAAGAAGATTGAGATTATCATCGACTTGATCCAGAAACGATTTTCTCTGCATGACAATGGGGTTGGCTGCGCAGACCCAAAGAAATTGCTTCAGTACGGCTCAGCGAGAGCAGATGTGCAACGCCGGTATGATCCATCCAGTCGATCTTTCCTCAGATACTTTGGAGGAAGTTTCTCCCGGTATGGAGTCGGATCCAAGAATGCATGCAATCTACTCGGAAAGACCATTCGTATCATTAGCAAAAGCAAGGGCTCAATGATTGAGAACTCGGTGAAGGATTCGGACCCCAACGCATGGATTGCATCGAGCTTTGCGAGACGGTTGGAGGATGCAGGAATGGTGAATGCGAGCTACTGCAAGATAGTCATCGATGAGTTCGACACGACCTTGCTCGAGACCGGGAGCTTGCCCGCCGACGAGGGGATACTTGAGACTATCAAGAGTCTGCGAATGATGTACTTCATGTATCTTGGAGTGAACCAATCTCAAGGGAGCAAGCCCGGTTTCTATCTCATGGCGCAGAAAATTCTGAGAGCATGTCAGGAGACATGTGTTTGCGAGAATGACGTTCAGGAGATTAGAAACATCGAAGTGACAACAAGGATGGTGAATGATAAGAACAAGCTGATTAAGGCGATTCAGCTGCTTGACGAGGCGAAAACTTTACCGCACCTGGAACTAAACCTCAAGGTGACCTCAGAAGGTCAGAAAGGACATGAAGTTGTTCAGGAGATGACGGTGGCTCATTGTGCGAGTAGCTGTTGTCTTGACACGCTGCTGAGCGACGCTGCTGTTGACTGCTTTCCTCTCTACCTTGACTTGAGAGAATACAAGCGGAAAGATCTCGTTTTCAAGAAAACGATGGTTATGGGAGCCGTGTTTTACTTCCCGAAACGAAACAACAGTGAAACGATTCAATTTGTGGACAGACTGTTTGGTCTATCTTGCGCGGAGCACAGGAGATTCATGACTTTCTGGATGGGGCGATGGTTGCTAGCAGATCAATTTATGCCCGAGTTCATGCAGAAGAGCAAGAGCAAAAGAACGAAGTTGAACATCTCAGCTGATGTACGCAACAGAGCATTTGGAATCATGTTTGTTGACAGAGACATTGCACCGGAAGCCGACAAGACCAAATTGCATCAAAGAGAAGGAAATCTGTCGAGAGTGCAAAAAGCTTTTAAGGATAAGGTTCTGTCTGAGGCATATGATACCTGGCTGCTGTTGTGTCACCGCAAGTATGACGAAGAAATCACCTTCGAGGATGAAGACGCTGAGTTTGACACAAACCAACGCATTTTCACCCACCAGTCTATCACTTTCAGCGGCAAGAAGTTCAACGTCGGTGACTACGTTGAGGTGTTCGAGGCTGAAGAGGCTCATTTGGAAAACAAGGACAAAAAGAGCTTACTTGTCGGGCAGATCCGACGGTTTCTACAGCATCGCAACAGCCTCCATCAGGGGAAGGTAGAGATTTTGATGCTAGAGACAAACAATCGCTTTGAAAATGTGGAGCAAAAAGAGATTCCAGACTGGTCGATGAGGTTGATTGACGCGGCAACCTTTGAAGAGCACAAGGAGAAGAACAAAGGAAACCTCGCCAGTGAAGTTTTCTTCGTTCAGAGCAAGAAGCGAATCCGAGCTGGCGATCAGCGCGTACTCAAGCTCGAGTGTCGCAATCACCTCGGAGCGAGAATCGACGTCAATCCAATGTGTACGTTGCATGTGATATTCCACCAGGAAGACATGAAGCAGGAGAAATTTGTTCTTCCTGATCGTAACGATCCTTTCGGCACCGACCCTGTCTTCTTGACAAAGGCTGGCGAGTACACTGTGAGTCTTGAGTCCACTTTACCTCATCACCCCATCGCTTGCACTCCCCTTCGCTTCAGGGTCGTTGCAGGAGATGTGAGCAAAGTGAAGATGAACGATGATGTCCGAGTGGTCTCGATCAGGTTCGGACGCCAGTCCTCGTTCAAGGCTACCTTGTATGACGAGTACGACAACGTTGTCAGCCCCCAAGAAATGCATAAGCCGAGGATCAAGCTAAGCCAAGTAGAGCAATCCTTCTCCATTGCAAGCAGACCTCCTCAGTTGCAAGTAGAGACAACGTTGCACGAAGACGCGATAGAAATGAAGATCTTGGAGGCTCGAGATGGGAGTGCTGGCAAGTTCAAGGCAACGCTCATCGTCACGAGTGAGAGTGGATCGTCTGTTCATGTGGACTTTGATCTCGAGGTCCAGCATGGAGATCCTCAGTGCATCGAGGTAGAGCCTGTTGACTGCAGTCAAGGCCTGGAGCTTACTAACCTGTCTGAGCTCCCTGATATTTCTTGCTCCATCAAAGACAGGTACAGCAATCCGTGTGACACCATTGGTGAAACAGCAAAGATGTTCGTCACCAGCACTGATCTACGGCTTGAGAGTAGTTACATCAGCTGCCCTTTATTTGCCGGAAAATGCATTCTCCTTATGGACAAACGTCTGCAAAGTTTGTACTTCAACAGACCTGCTGACAAGAGAACCGCAAAGGTGAAGAACTGCAGTGTTGTCAGCGCGTGGGGAGCAAAGAAAAAGACGCAGGAGCACAATCAAATCGGAGCAAACCTGAACGATACTTGGAGAAGTCTGTTGGAGAAGCAAGAAGAACCTGCGGGATTCTTTTGCCATGAGCATGGATTCTTTACCAAGGGTGACTGGCTGCTCGTGCGCCTCGATTCAGATCAACCCAACCGGTACAAGTATCAACAGGGCAGGCTTGAGTCAGTGAGCAAGGAGCGAGGGAGGTGCTGTTGGTGGGTCAAGTACTTCAACGCTACGAGCGATAGCTCCCGCCTTCTCGTACCTGCGGAGGGTGGCCCTGAGATGTTGAACATTGACAGGATCCAAAAGAGGATTCTTGTGCTTCATCATTCCTTGATGGACCGACTTGACGTCTGCGTGCTGAACGAGGACGTTTACTTCGCCTGCTGCGATGAATGCACAGCTGACCTCCAGGCATCTCTCGACTTCTTCCTGCACAGCGACGATAAGCTGCTGCATCGAAGAATGTCTTTCCCCCTCAAGACCAGCGGGACGCCGGTGAGGTTCTTGATTAGCCAGCAGGGAAAGATTCTTGGAGAAGGAGATGCTCTAGTGGTGATCGAGGTTGATTATGGCACTGTTCTTGACAACCTGTTCCTGCTCGCGAAAGACGAGACAATGCAGCCGTGCATTGACTTGAAGGAAACTGTCGAGGTCAGGTGTAGCTGGCAGGAAGCAGGGAGCCCATTGAAGTTCCGACCTGCGAAGGCTAAGAAGCTGCTACTGCCAGAGTTTGTCGCAAAGCAAGATGAGACGTATTCCATCAACATCAACAATGATAATGGCATTCCTCAGGATCTGAAAATTCAGGTCAGAGTGAATCGAGGTGAACCAGCTCTGCTGAGGCTGCAAGTCGAGCGGGACAAGGTTGTTGTTGGAGAAAGTTTCAGCCTAAGAGGTTTCGTGTGCGATCGCAACGGCCTCGTCATCGATAACTTTGGAGATTTCGACATTGACCACGAGACGTACACCTTCAAGTTTGAAACCAACGAGCGCGAAGAACGGGAGATCTTAATGAAGGACAGTCAGGGCGTTGAAGTGTCAGGGGTCAAAGCAAAGGGCAACATCACTACTCATGACAATGACTTTCAGATGAGAAATGTTTACATCAAGTGCAAACCAGCTCGAGGAACGTTTCGGATGGAGATGAAGATCAAACCTAAGAAGAAGTATGCTCAGCAATGGTATGTGATGAAGGCGATTGAGAGTCAGATTGAACTGCATGCCGGCAAGGCTTCGGAGATCATGCTGGATGGCAGGCACACGAATTTGTTTCCCCTTCAGGTCCCCAGCAACCTCGAGTATCTTTGCGAGATCTTCTTTCAGGTGACCGACTGCTCCGGCAACAACCTGTCAGAGCACTGGGATACCGATCTCACGCTTGACATCCCCAAGTCATCTTCCGCAAAGCTACAGAAGTGGAGGGAGCAAGGTCGAGAAACTGTTTACAGACTCGCTCGTCTGCCCCCTCTGCCCAAGGGGCAACACAAGATCACACTGAAATCAAAAAAGTTGAAGAGCTTGGAGCTGGTGGTTGTCTCCATGCCTGGAAACACCGTGCAGCAACTTGGACTCGAGGTTGAGCCAAGCGTCAAGCACCTCCAGGCGACAGTGTCAGGAGATCGGATGACCGCAGACTTCACGGCCAAGATCACCTTCCACACAGAGGACGGGCAAGAGTTGAAATTCAGCTCTGAAATACCCGATGTGAAGCTTGTTTGCTCTGCCAATGGAAAGAAGGACGTGGAGTTAGGAACGACCCCAATATCGTTTGAAGGCAACCAGCTTATCTGCATGTTCTCCTTGAACGAGGTTGGGAACGACCTGAAGATCAAAGCAGTGTTCGAAGACACAAGGCTAGGTTCGTCAAAGACAACAAAGTCAACGGCCTGCAAGGTGAAGGTCGAGCCAGGTAACATCATTCAGATTCTGTTGTGACGCGAGTAACGATCTGTTCTCAGGACCGGTACATTGTATTCTCCTGCCAAGCTGCAAACTAGAAGGATCGATGAATCGCTTTACCTTCAGCGTACACGCTGCCGATCGCCTTTATCAGCCCACCTCTTACCATCCTGTTTCCGACTGGAAGCTTTCGATCTCGCCGCGCGTGCTGGAGGTCGACGACTTTGAGATTGAGGCTGAACCTGTCCAGCTCTCCTCCTCCTGTCCTGGCAGATGCTCGTCGTTCCGCCTCAAGCCGCGCCGCTGGTCTGATGGTCGCGATCTGTCGCGATGCACTGTGTGCTTCGACACAGCCTGCAACTTTGACCCGCCTGTGCCCAGCAAACAGCATCAAGTCAACCTCGTGCATTACGACACGGTCACCGATGACGCAGAAGACGTGGATGGAGATGCTGCTAGCTTCGCTGAAGAAGAAGAAGAGAGGACGAGAGCAACGAAGATCGAGATCTCACGTTGCCGCAACGAGTTGGAGCAGTCACAGAGGAAGATCAAGAACTGCCTACAAACGATGCCGACTAAAAGCTGCTTCTCCCATGAGATCACTCAACTTTCTCTTGAACTTGATGCCGCAGCCGATGCGCAGAAAGGTCAAGTATGCGAGCGCTGGCTGTCAAAGGTTCGATCTATCCAGCGAGAGCTCGAGGAGAAGGCGACTCGCTGGAGCAAGGCAACCTTTCTGCCCTGCAAGTATGAAGCCAAGATCCCACAGGGCCACTCGTGCCTGGGCTGCCCGGCCTCCTTGTATCAGATCGACGACAGCAGGGCAACGGAGCTGCAGGTCGCCATCTCGACCGCCTTTGGTGCTGAGCTCTCCACCCTCGTCTTCTCCTCCAGCCACCAGATGAACAAGTACGTCGAGGACAGGCTCTCCCGTAACCCTGACACTGCCGACCTGCGCGCCATCGCTCTCCCGGACATGATCGACTCGCCCGACGGAGCAAGCGACGAGGTTCCTCGCGCTGCCCTGGGAAGGGCCAACAAGTTTGTGAGGCAAGTAAGGGCAGGAGACGCGATGCTCGACTCGCTTGCTCGTCGCTTCTTTGGCAGGCTAGTTGTGTTCGAGCTACACCAGGATGCGCGCGCCTACCGGGCAGCTGCAGGAGAGATGGCGGTCGGGCTTGACGCGCCCAACAACGTGCTCCTGTGGAACGGCTCGAGGGTCGTGGCCAGCAAAGAGAAAAGGTCGAGCAACGTGCTGGGAGTAGCCAACGACTACATGTCGAGAACGCAACAGAAGCTGAAAGAAGACACGAATGCCGCAGGAGAGATAGACAGGTTGCTGCGCGTGAGTGTTGGCTGCTTGTTGCCTCAACAGGATGATGTGAGCGTGTTTGCAGGAGATCAAGGATTTCTGCACGAGCATGGCAGAGCAGCAGGAGAAGATCAATGCCCTTGAGCAGTCAACTCATCTCTCCTCAGTCTCTACTGCTATATCAGTGAGCAAGTCGAGCAGTAGGGAGATCCTCACTCCAAAGCGAGGCGCTCGGCACGCAGTTAGGGTAAGACATCACGACGACGATAGCAATATCCCTCACTGAACCTTGTGTTGCCAGGAGGTTGAGGATGAGATCCCCAAGAAGCGACTCAAGGATTCTCCTTTTTCTCATCGCTAAGAATGAACTTCTGACATGAAAGGGCAAATGAACTCCTCCTCTCTATCTTGCTTCTGGAAATGCACTCCAGTTCTCAATACATTGGCTGGGCGATTGCTTTGAAAATTCTTTCCTGGTTCCATCGCGCATGGCTCCCTTTACATCACAGTGGACACCTCCTTTCACCCATCAGGCAGGGAAGTTGCTTGCAGCCACTTGTGAGGTCGGAGCATCTTTTCTGTCTCGGTGGCACTCTCTCTTGCAGCATGGTACAGTCACTCTCAACTCCGTCACTGTCATGCCAGACGGCATCGGTGTAGAGCCGCCTGACGATGGACATAGCAGAAGTTAAGAATATGACTTGCACTCGTCATGACATCTCGCTGCTCATCCACCGTACTGCGACTCGAAACAACATACAGATTTTACTCATCTAGAAACAAGACACAGATTTTACTCATCCAGAAACACAAACTTTACTCATGTAGAAGCAGATACAAACTTTACTCATGTAGAAGCACATACAAACTTTACTCATCCGGAAGAAGCGCCATGGGCCATGTGGTACCGTGCGAGCCGACTGTCAGCCTGGCAGTCCGTGAGATGTATCTTAAAGTTTCATTCGAATTGATTCGCACTTGAACTGGTTCTAGATCCCGTGTACATTGAATCTTTTCAATTTGAACCAATTAAAATCAAGGGGGTCGTGGGTCAAAGTTCAGTTGAGCGTCGCTGAGCGGCGGTTGTAGGGGGAGTAGGGTAGGGGTCACTCGGTAGGAAGACTCGTAGGGAAACAAGGGGGTGGAGGGGGTAGAGGCAGGGGAGGGGTATGGGTAGGGGTAGGAACAGATAGAGTCGGAGAAGGGGATTCGGAGTTGATAGATCTCTTTCACTTCGATCAAAAGGGGGTGGATGACAGCAGGGGTCATTGGTAATTCATATCCGAAACATAGATGAATGAGGGGTACTTTACCTGAACATAGATGGGGTAGGGGTAAATTCTGGATGTTTGTAGTAGGTGGGGTAGCAATCAATTGAGATATGAAAGGGTGGGGTAGACGAGGGTCAAAAACACGGGACGAGAATCTCGGGAGAGCTAGTTAGTAACGAAGGTGTGGACATGGAGGAAGAGGATGGCTGAAGTCAGGAGGAGAAGAGCATAAAAGGCTGAGTCGATAGAGCCAGCTCCCGGCAACAAGGCTAGAGCTGAGAACATCAGTATTAGCCGTAATACTTGACACGATCACTATGATTTCCGGTTTCATGTGAGTACAGAGTGCAGGAGCAAGTGGTTGGAAGTTTGCACGTATAAAACTAGCAATCCTTTATGAAACAGGAACAGAGCGACAAAAATAACTTGTCTGATGCACATGCTGCGCAGGTTGTGGGTACATCAAATTCATCGCAAAAAAACCAAAAAAAGTCTACGAAGCGACAAAGGAATCATGTACAAGTGATCAGCAAAAGAAGGTAGGCATATAAAACAGCTCTAGTCGGCCCCAGCGATCTCTCAATTGGACCTTTTCCGCGTCCATCTGTCAACATGGGTTGTGGGTCCTCTGTCGCGACCAATGCGAGGGAAGCGCAAAGGTCTCGACTCGTGGTGGAGGGTCATGATTGCAACGTGCCTGCATTGCTACAGGATTGCAGCGTTGCTTTCTTGGAACAGTTTGCAGCAGCAGCAGAATGGAAGAAGTACGAGGCTAGCAGCTATGTCATCAACGGTCCAAACACGTTTTGCTGTATGTTCTTCATAAGCCGTGGAGAAGTCTCTGTTCATGATACAGGAAAGCAAACCAAGAATTTGTCCGATGGGGATCACTTCGCAGAGACAAGCATGTTGCTTAACGAGGAGGGTTACACAATAGCCATAGCAAACACGGACTGCGAGCTGTTAGTGCTGAAGAGAGAAGCTTTCTTCACGTTGCTTGAAGCATGGACCAAGCTCGCACCAGCCCTGTTCTCCAACATGGATGACCGCGATCAAAAGCACATCTTAGAGAAGGTACAGGAAGTGCAGGTGGATATAGCTTTGCTTGCTGGCCTGCGCTAAAACAATTTCAGAATAAGGGGGAAGGGAGCAACGGCAAGCCATTTGCTCGCTCAAACTTGCAGAGGAAAAGCACAAAGCTAATGTTGGACGAAATCGTTTCGAGAATGGCCGAAGTTCAAAGTTCGGAGGGCCAGGAGCACTTGAGCCGATTTGTTGAGGTGACTTGAGCTCAACACTGAGTTGCTGCTTCCAGTGCTGACTTGTGCATCTGTCAGCTTGTGCACGATAGCATGCTTGAGGCTGAAGGAAAGAAAGATTCCAAGATGCTGCGCGTCAAGGTGGCGAAAGACAACGCGAGGTAACGAGAAAGAGGAGAAGCAGGAGGAGGAGGAGCTGGAGGAGGAGCTGGAGGAGGAGCTGGAGGAGGCCTGTTGAGTTCCATCCGCTGACAAGACAGCAGACCAGGGCTGCTTGTTTTCTTGAACCTGGACGCTTATAGAGACACGGAATCTTGCAGGTCAGCACTGGCTCTTCCCCCTTCATCCTTTGATTCGTGTTTACAGATTTCCTGGAGACGATGGCCCAGGGATTCTGATGGAGGACCACATCGGGGATAGGTAGGAGACCTCGATGTGCAGCAAGCGGTTGCTGATGCTGCTGTGCTGTAGCTCCATGTGGCGGGTGCGATGGATCTACACCAACACGTGGGGCATCTACAACACCGTGAGCTAGTCTGTCCATCCTCGTCAAGACCGTTGACCTCCGGCAGGGCTTCGACGGGCAATACCATCTCTGGGTAGGCTCAGAGAAGGACTCTCCTCCTATCGATCCCGATCTCTTCATGCAGTGAGTCTTGGATGACGAGCGCAGTCGAGAAGTGATCTTGTTTTGCAGAAAGAACAGGATGCCTTCTTTTTTCTTCTGCTGCCCTGTTGCGGACTCGTCAGAGGGGATCAAGGTAAACCTCGTCTCCTCGTCGACAAGACCTGACAAGATTCCAGACCATGCACAATCTTTCTTCTCCGAGAAGCAGACTCTTCCTCCCTGCCCTCCCCAACTGATCTTCCAGCCTTCATGTACATACGGCTGGGGAGCGATGTTGAGTGTAGATGAGATTTGAAGTGCGACCTTGTTGCAGCCATGTTTTATATACGTAAAGGTTATTATCATCGTCACCCTTCACATGATCAACATCGTTGCCGCTTCTTTTGTTGTGTTCCTCCAACTCCATCCCACCCCGAGCTCTCTGAATCTCTCAGACCAAGTCTTCTTGCGACAAAGGAAGAACTACGATGGAGTTCTTTGCCTCTCCCATTCTCTTCCACCTTCCGAGTCGATGCTCCTGCCCGACGCCAGCGACCAGGAACCTCCCTGTTGAGGAGAAGCAGAGCGAGTTGACGAAGCCTTTCACAGGCAGCTGTGCCACCTCCTCCAGCGACGAGTTTTGATCTGCACACTTCCAGAGCCGCACCAGCCCATCGCAGGAGCCGGAGGCAATGAGGTCGCTGTAGTTGAGAGCAGCGACTGAGGAGATCCAGTTGGGGTTGCCGAACTCGTCGCTGCCGTGAGCCACCCGGCGAATCACCGTCGGCTTCTTCTTCATCACTGACCACAAGCTCACGCCCCCGTCCTGCGATCCTCCGCAGAAGAATTCTTCGTTGGACATGGCAACGGTGTCGATGCTGTGGGTGTGGCCCCTGAAGATGAGCTGCGACTCCTCCATCACCTTCCACAGCCTCATCGTTCTGTCTCGCCCCACTGACACGCAGCGTTCTCGAAGCAGGGAGGCGATCCCGTTGATTTGGCACTGGTGCCCGAACAGCGTCTCAACATAGCACATCTCGTCTAAGTTCCAAATCTTGATTGTCCTGTCTAGCGAGCCGGAGAACAGCTGGTGAGTTCCCTTGCGGAAGGCCAAGCAAGTAACAGCGTCGCGGTGCCCCTTAAAGCTGCTCGCCAGCTTCTGCTGCCTAACATCATATACATGAACCAAGCTATCCTTTCCTCCGATCGCGACGTACTGCCCATCTTGACTTACAGCTAGTCCGTTCACAACCTTGCCAAACTTTTCATCTGGAAATATCTTCTTCTTGGTTCCTGACTCCAAGTCCCACAGGTACACCACTCCCTCCTTTCCTGCTGAGCACAAAGTTCTGTCATCTCCAGCAAGTGCAACGCTGGTGACTGAAAGCTTATGACCGCGAAGAACCTGGGAGACTTGTATATCCTTTCCCACCAAGTGATCTGCCACATGTTTGTAGCGCTTCCCCTTTGCTTCAGCAATGTCTTGCTGTAGACGATGAGCAATTGCATCTTGGTTGAAGGCATCTGCGTCGTCGTCCTCTTCGATCTTCTTCACCTCGTTAGTGACAGTTTCAAGATACTGTTTGGCAAGCCGAAGCCTCGTTTCGTCTGCTGTTTCTAATGCAAACTCATCTTCGCTGCCTTCTCCCCCGCTTTCGAATCTTGCTTCTTCCTCCGCGCTGAAATCATCACCACTAAGCTCTTCGTCGTTGAACGCTGCCTTCTTTCTGCTACTGAATTTATTGTCCCCTTCATTCTTACGCTTGCTCCCTGCTCGTTTCACAGTTTTTGCCGGCGCCATAACGAGCAAACTTGAGTCCTCGCTTCAAGGCTTAAGATTCTGACAGTAGGTCATCGGGTGAGAGATGTCTTCGTGCTGCTCTCTCCTTCCTTCTCGTGCTTCGCCTCTCTTCGCTCTCTCTCCCTGCTCCTCCCTGCCAACTCCACGAGCTCTCTCAGATCGCACGTGCGATATTAACCGTTTTCTAAGTCCCCGCTTGCAACGGTTGCAACGCCGCGGTACGGTGCTCCGAGGCCGCGTGTCCGTCCCGGACGGTCCGGCGGCGGCCCGGCCGGAGGCGGCCGCGGCGCCACCGGCCGCGTCCGGCGCCGATCCGGGCCGAGGCCCTCCGGGGACGGGAGTCGGTCGGAGCCTCCGATCAACCGGGCGCCGGGACTCCGGGGAGTCCGGCCGGGCCCGGCCCGGGCCCCCGGCGGCGGCCGCGCGCCGCGCGGCGGGGCCAATCAGACTCACTGATGTGAACAGCGGCCCCCCAGCCGGGGACTGGCAGTGCCATCCCGCCAAACTTCGGAAACGGGCAGCGCCGGGCTCCGAGGCCCTCACTGCTTCGGAACTTTCACAGTTAGTAAGGCTTCACTGAACTCAGTTGCCCCGGATTGCTTGCCGCAGAGGAGGCTCTTACTAAGTTATAAAACTTTACTAAGTTATAAAACCCGGCAGTCACATTCCGGTCTGCCTGAGAGCTTCGTCAATGTGACGGGCTCAAATTTAAAGCGAGTCTTCAATCATTCCTGTCCCCTAACTCTGCTCTGCTGTCTGGAAATGATACTAATTTCATAGCTCCATAGTCGTCCCTCCTTGTTCAGCAGGTGCTGTTATCTTCGCCCAGGCATTCATGCGGCAACTCGCGCATGCTTCTTCACTTTTTCAAGGACTTTTTCAATGTCTGCTCCAACCACATCGTCCATACACTGTCCATTGACGAAGAACTTCCAGGAGGAGGCCCCAGTCAAAACATCAACAGAATTGAGAAGAGTACATTCTACCTGAAAAGTTGGCATACAAGAGATCGAGCGAGAGGTAGCAGTTTCATAGTTTTCGTCCACATCTACCTGGAGATCGTGGCATGAGCGTTAGAGAGGATCAGCCGTGACGACATGCGAGCTTTCCTTGTAAAACAACGTGTTGGGGTTCTCCAAAGCCATTTCTTCATACTTGCTGGCGATTCGTTTGCATGGCCCACACCTGATTTCATGGTTCGCCAAGACGCCATCGAAAGCTTTCAAGGGCACGGGTACCAGGCAGCTGTGAATTCTACGACAACGAGTTTATCCTTGGCTTCCTTGAGCTTCTGGAAGCTAAGGTCAGCTTGTTTGACCTCACATTGCAAGCAATCTACTTGCCGCTTCAAACTCATCTAGAGTGTGCAAGTACTGTACTCCTCCGCCTCCTCTCAGCCGCAAGAATCCGCTTTCAGCCTGTGGTGCCGTCATACAGAAGTTTGAAATGGTCCTCATAGTTGACATGCGACTTATCCAACGTCAACATGGTTCTTCCAGGAAGCAACCCGTTGTAAGGGAGTCGAGTCGCGCTTGCGGATAGGCATAGGGTGCATAAAACGGCAGAGAATCTGTCAATCATCTCAAAGTGCTTCCACACCCGGACAGCTTGCAGATAGGAGGGACCAATCTTGGACTGTGCTCACAGGATTGGGACAAGACGGCGTGAGGGTATGGGAGCGCACGATGAAGGAGCAGATAGAAGCAGCATGATATGATGACAAGGAGAGGAGCAAGCGGGTGCAGCGGTCTTGCCGCTCTAACTCCCGGCATTTTTACTCACAGGCGCAATGGCGTCATTTCCTCCTCGGTTTTTACGACCCAACCCTCATACAGCACGACTGACATTCCCCAACTCATGGTCGACTCACCGGGGCGGCCGCCGGTGTCGCGGCGGCGGGTGCGGCTGGTCGGGGCGAGGCCCCGGGCCCGCCTGCCCGCTCATAGGATCCGCACGGTCGGTCACTCAGCACACAGCGGCGTGATGACGCGCCCGCTGCCCGACCTCAGAGGCCGCCCGGCGGAGGGTCTCAGGGACTCGAATCCGACATTCATAACTTGGCACATCATTTTTCAAAGTTTTGAACTTACTTACTCATTGAGACTACTACCGTACCGACAAATCCAGAGACCGACTGGGACTCCAGTAGTCAACGGTGGACTCAGTGGACTGGAAGAACAAAGTGATCGTAGTGCTGTTGTTGACTGTAGCCTGGGCTTGAAGACAAGGGTACAACAAGAGCGCCACAATTTCCTTGCTGGATCTGCAGAACGTGACTCAATTATCTCTCGCGAACAAGATTGTAGGAACAGACCTGGGATAGAATATGATCTTTTGTCCTTTCCACGGCAGAAAACGGCCCTGCAATCGTGACAGGGCGAAAATTCGAACCTGAAGGGCATTCTCTGGCAATGAACACCCGAGTGCCGAAATACATCTCCAAATTTCTAAGGGAAGATGCATTCTTGCCGACGACGAAACCTACTTTAGCGTTGGGGATGGTGATGGTTTGGGAACACGGTTCGTTCCTGGAGACGTTAGCAGGAAGCGCTCGCTTTCTATCTTCTTCCACCGGAATTGGCTTTTGATCCATGGCTTGAGTCTTCTCTTCAAGCATATTGTAGATTGAGCTGCTCCTTTCGCTGCTGTGAGGAGGTCTCTCATGCCCTGCAGAACCAGTGCCCGTCGTATTCGATGTGATATCGTAAATGGACGAGAGAGGCAAGGCTAGCTTGTCTGCGATGAGCTTTCTGATGGCCTCAAATTGCGGTGAAGTTCCCGTGATCTCGATCGGACGAGGTTCAAACCGTCCTGCCCTTGTGACTGTGTGGACAATCTGGACCCGGCATCCTGTACGAAGCTCTAGTTCTCGAATGTTAGATCCTCCCCTGCCAATGAGCAGGCCAACTTTCTCGTTTGGTATTTCTATCACATGCGTGCGCGAGGCCGCAGGTTGACTGCCTGTATGGGTATTCCCTGGCATGATGCAGGATCATTGAAGCGATAGGAAGTACGTATGTTTTGCATGCTACCTGCCAGTGCTGTGGGATGTGAGGAAGCTGTCTGCTGGTTTGCATTACTGCCGGAGCTATCAAATGATCATTACGATGATAGTCATTCACAGTCAATTGATCAGGTTTACCTGTCATTCTTCGATTTTCAATTCATATGGTAGGTATGACACAATATTTGAGAAATGCAAAAAGTCATTCGAAAAACTCGTTGCAGTTGATATTTACCGAAGGCGACCAAGGCGCTGCAAGAATTGACATGCCTGGAGTTGGACACAAAGAGCATCAGATAAACAGCTACACCTTGGTCTAATAATGCAAGCAATGAATAACCTTTCGGACTCTGGGAGATGTTGGCAGACAAGTGCGATGGATCTGCGGGGGCTTGACTGAGGTCTAAAAGTGCCTCGTTCCTTTCTGGCAATGGTTCCTTCCGCAAGCGTCAATAATACGCAGAGCCGGTTGTCTCAGAAGAAGCTCACATCGACATAGGATTTATGCCTTTTGAATGCATTCAAGGAAGCATCGTCCTTCTGAGGCTTGAAGGCATCAACACTACCAGGACCTTCTAGTTCGGTAGCTGGTCTCTTCTTGTTCTCTTCGGCAGTCTGCATCGCCTGGTTCGGCACCATAGGAGTGCCGTTCTGATCTGGGTCTACGCTAATGCCCTGGTGTGGGGCTGCACAAGCATCTTCCGACTGGAAATACGTACTCGAGGTGATAGGTGCTTCGCGATTGTGCTCCGATTCTGACGGTTGAACGTGTTTATACGGCTGCACAGCATCATTTCCTTGTTGCAAAGCCTCATCTGTCAGCGACGCGTCGCCAGCATCTTGATTCTCCGGCTCTGTAACGAGTGCAGGTCATCGACAAACAAGGGGCAAAGAAATTAGGTACTAAGGCACCTTGAGGCTGCTCCTGCATTTCATTCTCCACCGCATGTTGAAGCCTATTCACAAGCTCCGCCTTCAACCCTTTGCAGTCCAGGCCGCGCTGCTCCAACTCCTTCCTCAGCTCCACCACCTTTAACATGAGGTTGGTTCTTTTACAATATGATGTCGATGTTCAACCATGCTGACTTGTTGCAAACATTTCATATCTTTACAATGCTCTGTACACACCCTAATCTTTTTTCTCAACTCGACAGCCAACCCTTTCCTTCCTTTCTTTGTGTTCCGTACTGCGGTTTCTCTCACCTACCCCTGCTCTGCTCATCTGTTCTTCCCTTCTCTCTTTTACCTTCATCGTTGCGATCCTCGACGAGTCCATGGCGAAACACTGCTAAACCTCCAGAATATTTGAAATCTTTCTCTGTAATTTCCCACTAAAAAGGATCATATTCTTTAGGAAATTAGCTCTTGCCATGGCCCGGCAATCTCGCCGGCTTGGAGCCGGGTCATCCCTCATCCCCACTAATACCCATTGCCAACAGTGGTGGTCAGAGTGGTGGTGGTCTGCCAGGGTCCTGGCCAGGGTCTGTGGTCCGATCTCCCTTTTTACTCAAAGTTAAGTTAAAAATCAGGTCTGTTGTTGTGGTCTGCCTGGCAGGAGCAGATTCCCAATACTGGACGAGGCGCTAGGAATGAGTCCTAGGTCATCTATGGTTGCGGTCCTAGGACTCGTGCGTCGCCGGTTGCCCCCGAAGGGGTGGGAGGCCTAAAGGTCGGGGCATTACCGATTTTTATAAAGTAGTTTTAATGATGACCATTTTGTACAGTGTTACCAGGAAGCATCTATATCATTTTTACATGTGTCGGTACAAACCGACATGCCAGTTGTCACGTGGTGCCTGCATGAACACCCCAAAAAGTGTTTTTAACGCTACACCTCGGGATTGGATGACTGCTCCTGCCTTCTCCTACATTACATTTAGCTGGTAAAATATTTTACTTCCTTCTCGTCGACACCAATACCGTTGGAAATTCCGGGTGGGGGTTGGGAGCTACCGAATCATCTACCTGAGATTGCTAGGTTCCCAGGGGGTGGGGTATTTGATTGGGTATGAACGGGAAAAGACTGCAGAACAGGTACATGTAGATGATGATCTAAAACACTTATTAGAATACATTATTATAAAGGTACAAATAATTCCACCACCCCTACCCATGATACAGCCTCCACATCAATCATGGCTGTGGCTGAGCACCTCCATACCCCTATCTTTTATATTTGCGCTCAAAGGATTAATGCACAAAGGTCCTCGGATACCACCTTACCCCACCAAGACCAACCAATCTCTGAAGCGCGATGTACCGTGTGTGGGTGGGGTCCAAGGGCAGGTTGGGCGCTATCACGCGGGCAGGGTGATTCAGGAAGGAGACAAGAGGGGATGAAAGGATGATGGTATGACAAGGAGACAAGAGTAGAAGCAGGGCAAAGTGAGAGAAATCAACGAGAAGAACACACCATCAGAAGAAACTTTCCCGAGATTGAAGGATTGTAGCGATGGGCGAGGCCATATCAAGAATATATTCAGATTGTTCAGGGATGAGGTGTGGTGGGGGCAAGGAGAAAAGGACTCAAGCAACGTGGAGCAGAGCAAATAGCGATGGTCAAACGAATGGGATTGGTTTATTTCGTTGTACATGTGATGCAGATTCTTGAATCTCATTTACAGAATCGCTAACGATATTTGAACATGCTGACAAAAGTTCGATCCGCGTTGACAGGTTTCTGAGAATCATTATCCATGATAAAATCATTTAGCATCATCCGGCCTTAGAAGCTTCACGATGATAGAGGTCCGATGCTACAGTGAATCGTTTGCCTTCTAAAGATGAACAATTTGTGAGAAACATTGCTCATTCTGTCTTTGTAAACTGATCAATACCTCATGCCATTTCAGGTATTCTGCGGCGTCCTTGTTATCTGCAGTAGCAAGTAGCAAGTCAGATACTTCCAACATGTTGTGTCTGGAGGGAACTGGTGCCAACTCCAGTAAGTGATTCGAATGTCAACTATGCTTCAAAATGCCTGATACATCTTCAGCCACAATGCAGAGCTTGGGTACAATTCTGAAGAATCAAGGGCAGAATCTCTCACTGAATTCGATGTGCATTACTCCAACACAAAGCATGTCATCCCATCCCATCTTGAATCCCGGCTTTGGAGGACCGAGGATTCCCGACACAAATACCCCGCAGTTGTTTTTCCCAATAGGAAATCAAAGTCTTGCGAGATTGGGCAATCAGAATGCTGCAGCTGTACCGAATTCGTTCAATTTGATGGCGACCAATCAGGACATCAGTGCTTTGCTACACAGCAATTTGAGCAATGCTCCTGGGAACATTCTCAACAATTCGCAATTTCTGAACCTTGGGAATCACGGGCTTGCTTTGAACAGTCAGGCTCCAAGTGTCAACGGTGCTGGTTTGAACTCTTCATTAGGATCAACCTCTGCAATTTCTCCCTTTATTTTCAGCAATATTATGGAATCCAACTTGAGCTCATTAGGAGTTCCCAAACACAACAGCAGTCCTGCGAACGTTTTTCCTACATCCCTTTTACCGGATTCTTCCTTGAATAATGTTCAGATATCAGATGCATCTTTCCAATCTCGACTCGCGGTCTCTATGCCCGGCGCAAATTCGATTTCATCCCTCAATCCTTCTCAGGTTCCAAATGCTCAACTTGTTTCTCAGCATCCCTCTGTATTCAAAAGCACAGATGTCTTGGGAAAACGATCGCAGGTAGAAGATACGAAGAACCCGTTTGATCAGCTGGTTGACTCATACGAGGGTTACAATCGAAGAATTAAATCAGCCAAGAAGGCTGGGGAGCTGAAAGTTTCCAGCAAAGTAGAAATCGATTCCGCAGAGAGAGGAGCATCAAGAACTCGAAGTGGCGGAGATGAACAGCCTCAGGACGTTGTTACTGGACAGTCTTCAACCAAGATCGAGCATCGAAGCATATCTCGGAAACGTTTGGGAATTCTACACGACCGTCGTGGCCGACTACGTGAAGTTGAAGACCTCTTCCTTGACTGCATGGCAATGCGACCATACATTGAGCTTGGTTACTCGTCACAGGTCTCGCTGTCAATCGATGTTGACTACATGAATCATTTCTGTTTTCAGGCTTTGCTGAGTGCATTTGCTGATACCCGTGGAGTGCTTCTGGATTCCATCAGAGAAGCAGCTAGCATAGCTCAGAGTGCAATAGATATTCTTGCTGCTCAGGGAAAATTCCCATCAGAATCTGCAGCCCAAGAGGCACAACGAATGCATGAGAAGAAAAGTTGGATATCATTTGAGTTTGATCCAGGTTTGTTTCATTTCTTCAACTTACTGCATTGTACTGAACCGTGATCAGTGTCGGGAAAAAGGAAAACAATTTCTTGTGGTCCATCAATTTCTGACATAGTTGGGATTTCCGAGGAGGACCTGATTGCAAAGTATTGTTCAGGGTGTTGAACTTTCTTGTCAAGTGAGATCACTTTTAGGTTTTATGCTCACGAAGTTCGCCTTCCTTGTAGGTAATGACACAATAGATGCCCTAAGACGCACCATGTGAACCTTTTAATGATCTTTTATCAGTGAAATCGATTTTGTATGCTTTGTGATCGAGGATTTGGTCAGTTCGATCTCAAAGCAATAAGAATGTATGTTCTGATGCACGTTCTCAGCTTTACTCTGTTGATTCGGCAACGAGACATTTTGTTGTACACACGAAGGGAGCGTCGTGGATGCGTCAGGTAAATTCAATATCATTCTCAACAAAAAAAATGATTTTCTTCGCGCAAAAACAGGGAAAAGACACGGAAAGCAACAAAAACGACGTAAACAAAAGAATTATGATGGTCTCCACTGAGACAATTCACAGTTCTCTAAACCCGATCTGTTGACCAAGGATACAGGGGCATATGATGCAGAGGTTCTCCTGTGTCTACATACTCTGATGCCCAACCTCATCCTAGTCTGACAGGTGTTAACTGTATCGCACGTGTTCGAACGAGATGAGCGGGGTAGACTCGTCAGGTTGACAGCGTCGTACGACATCGCGGACGAGGTATGCACAGAGATCTCGTTCACGATTTGCGCAAGCCTTACAATCGGGGGTAGGATGACTACCAGAAGGTTTTGTCAAGCGTTTCACCGCCGCTGAGCGTTCACACAAGAGATGGGAAAGACTTCCAGTCGGTTTTTACTGATAGATTGACTGCAACTGATGGAGAACAGGAGCATGTTGTGGCGCCACAAAGTTGCAATTCAATGTGTTGGGAAGCTTCTCCACATCAAGAAGTCGCCCGAAGGGAGGTGCTTAACGCGTTCACTCTTCAATCTTGCGCTTATGAATTTGTTGGTAGAGCAAAGTTGATGGCATTGGCGAATTCCATCAGGAAAAGATCCAACGATTTGAAATGTAAATTTCTCACCTGCCCTGGGTCAACTGTGGTGGTATGCTCAGTTTTGCTATACCTTGAATCTGCATGACATGTTCTGACAGAAATCGCAAGAATAGTCTGCAAGGACTATGGGACTCGGATCTCGAGTTCTGATGCCGTTTTCTCGGCTTCACAGAGTCACATATTCACTGAATTATGAAGTAAAGTTTTCTTGTACACTGCAATGCTGCTGGCAGTGCGGCATCCGATCACTGACCGTTCAGTACTCGCCGCCGGCCCGGTGAGTCGAGTCCGACCGTTACTCCCGACTGAACTCCCTGCGCCGGCCCGTCATCGGTTATGCACTAATAACGACTTTGTGCGACGAGCTGCCGCTGGGATCATGCTGCGGATCAAAGAAGCCCAGAGGTACGCTTGAAGCAGAGGGGAGGAGAGGCGCTTGAAGCAGAGGGGAGGAGAGGCGCTTGAAGCAGAGGGGAGGAGATGCGAGGTACGCTTGAAGCAGAGGGGAGGGGAGGGGATGTACGCTTGAAGCAGAGGGGAGGAGAGGCGAGGTACGCTTGAAGCAGAGGGGAGGGGAGGGGATGTACGCTTGAGGCAGAGGGGAGGAAAGAAGGACGAAAGATGGAATGATAATGCTTGTTAACCTCAAGTAGTTATTTGGAGGATATATGGTAGGAACACATTCTATTTGATACCAATGTCACATGAATGGGAGAACGTTTCGCGTTAAGTCCAAAAAGAACTCAATGTCAGTCATGCGGCATAGTTCCATAGTCAGTCATGCTGCATTGGGTATCGATGGTTGACTTGATTTTGCAAGATTTGCCATTCAAGTATCGAAAAGGTTGGCAAGATCACGATGCTTTTCTTCAACCGGGGACTCCAAGCTCTACGACTTCTCTCATTTGTACTCGCACAATCATTTACAACTTCCCAAGCTACCTGTTCCAGACCTTAAGTCTACTGTTCAACGATATCTCCAAAGGTTTGACCTGACCACCTGCTTGAAACTGGCTGTCTGATTTCCCCAAAGCTTGATACCGCTGATGGAGCCAAGTGAATTTCAGAAGTATAGTGAAATCGTCAGAAAATTTGAAGAAGAAGAAGGTTCAACATTGCAGTCGTTGCTGTTACAATCTCTTGAGCACGAAGGATACCCGTACAGCTATGTGGTGATGCTAAGAGTACTTATGCTTTCTTCTTCTTATCAAGCACTTTCAGGAAAGGTATTGGGACGACATGTACCTCAACCTCAGATGCCCCATACCAGTTCATGTGAACCCAGCATACAACTTGAAACATGATGAAGATTGCGGGAAACCGAAATCTCAGGCCAGTCGGCTATCGAAATTCATATCTCTTAGTTTCAGATGGCAAGAGAAAGTTCTTCGAGGGCATCTTGAGCCAGAAAAGAGCCCTAGCTGCATGAGTTTCTTCTCGAGGTCAGCTCTGTTGAGCTTCTTGCGACGTCTCTGAAGTCTTCGTGTGAACCAGACTACTTGGAACAGCACGAATTCCACACATCGGTAGGGACATCCTCAAGACGAACGCGCATTCTCGTCATGTTGTTTTGATTCGAGGAAACAAATTCTTTCAAGTGCAGGTGCATCGAATCACACTTATGTTTGAAAGGTTGATCGCTACACCAGGTTCTCTCTGCCGACAGGTCTGAGATTCTGTCCTGTGAGGCGCTTGAGCAACAAATACAACATGTCCTCGATACAGTCCCGCCAGCGAAGGGAAATGAAGTTGGTGTTGGAATATTTACGTGGGAGGATCGCGATGCATGGGCCAACACTCGAAAACAGCTGGAAACTTGCTCGGCCATCAATCAGGAGTCGCTGCGAACGATCGACTCTGCACTTTTTGTTGTTTGCCTTGATCATGGACCACACCAGGGTTACACAGAACGAGCTCAAGATATCCTTCATGGACAAATGAATTCGATTTCCAACAGATGGTTTGACAAGCTTCAGGTTTGCCGGTGATGCAAATATCACTTGCAAGACATAACGAAACGTTCTAGATTATATCCGATTCAACAGGAGCCCTTGGAGTTAATTTTGAGCACTCATTCTCCGATGGAGTAGTCTGGAATCGCTGGCTCTCTGAAGTTTGGGACAACATGCAAGGGAATCAGGCGTTGGGGGCCCCTGCTCCTCTTCCAAGATTTTCAGAAACCAATTGTGTTGATCCAAGCTGCCCAGTAGCGCTGCAATTTGAGATTGACAGCGCCATGGAGAAGTAAGCATTTCAAATTTGATTTCTGGATTTGAGGTTTGAGGGGTGAGATTAGAGTGACTTGTTCCTTCATTTGCAGTCGGATGAGAGAAGCTCGCAAGAGAGCCGAGGCTCTGACTCTCAACACTCACACCCACATGCTGCGTTTCTCGTCCTTTGGCAAAGAGAAATTCAAATTGTGGGGGCTGAGCCCCGATGGAGTGGTGCAGATGGCAATACAGATAGCTTATCATCGCCTACACGGCAGAGCAGTACCAACGTAAGGGACGAGGAGGCAGGCATGGACTCACTGTGACTTTCAGATATGAATCATGCTCCACCAAAGGGTATTTTCATGGAAGGACTGAGGTTGATTATCTTGGTTCTGCTGTACTTGACTGCTCTGTGATGTGTAGGTTATACGTTCATGTCACGATGAAGGCAGCCAGATGGTACGAGCAATGAACCAAGACAAAAGAAATGTCTCCCCGGGATATCAACCCTTCACTAGAAATCAACAGACAGAACTCTTCAAGAATGCTGTCAAGCGGCAGAATGACTTGTCTCGCCTGGCGGTGTGCTGCCTGGTTGCCGTCATGGTCCTTGACTGAGAGAGCAGGTACAAGGCCAAGGGGTTGACAGGCATCTGATGGCTCTCAACAAAGTGGCCCATGGGGTTCTTCCTGTGGACAACAAGCTGTTAGAGGCGAAGATCCCTGCTGCCATCCCTGCTGCCTTTCAGCATCAAGTATTTGGATATTCGAGTACTTGGCTGATATCAACAAGGTAGGCGCACAGCAAGGCGTCGATGTCCAGTAACCATGTCGTTTCTTAGCAACGTCTCAACAACTTGGAATTCAATCTTCGCATTTGGCCCTGTTTCTGAACATGGATATGGTGAGAACCTCTTGTTTACCAAGGATCGCCTTAAAGATTCTTCAGGGGTCGGCTATCTAATCCATGACGATCAAGTACTATTGAATCTTACTTCATGGAGAGACTCAAAGGTCAGTTGAAGAATTCTATGTCGAAGTTTGATGTTCTGTCAACAACACTAGGAAACCGATTCCGACCTATTCGCCAAATCTCTTGAGGTCCCTTTGCATCGAGTCTTTCAAACCATCCTTGACATCCTCTTAGGAAGCTTTCTTCAAAATTCAAGAAACTTTTGAATGAGTAAAATTCTGGCTCATCTTTGCTCTTCAATTCTTGTGGTGTGGCAGATGTCAGAGACTTTGTGAATTTGCAACGATGAGAATGACCAGAGATGTTGCGCTGTTGAATGCACTGTGGGGGTGGAGAACGAGTTTGCATGAGTTCTATACATTACAAATCTATTCATACATCGAGTCGCCTTCACTCTTCCGCCTCCTCCCCCCTCTGTCTCTCTCGCCATCGTTAAACTTGAGAACCCTTTTCGGTCCTCACAGCGAAAAAAAAAGGTGACCTTTTTTTCCCCCCCAATTTAGAGCAGGAGAGTGCGGCGGGTATGATGCAGTTCCAGCACCGTTCGACATGGTGAGTAGCACGGGCAACGACGACGCCATGCAGTAAGGGGATGAAAGTAGTGCAAGCAGATAGTTTATCTTGCTACCACACATGCAGTGATTAGCTTCTGTTGTTCTCTAGTGATTAGCCTCTCTTGCCTTGCAATCATTTGCCTTTTTCCTAGGTTCCTCCTTGCCATGCTGGCCACCACTTGTTCAGCAACTCAGCCGCGTGCTCCCAGCAGCATTGTACAAGCCGTTCAAAACGGAAGGTCGCAGGTAGAGCAGCCGTTGGAAGCATTTTCATGTGTCATGCTAAGGTGTGAATCCAGGCACTGAGCACGGAGAAAGACCCGTACCAAGACGGCGGAGACCCAATCAAACAAAAAGAGTACAAGGAGCAATTCCTGCACGTCGACGGAACCATCAACGAGAAGGTGCTGTTGATGATCCAACAGTACAGCCCCATTAGTGCTGGAGCCGTTCCAACTAGCCTCGGCCTGTTTCTCTTCCTGCTGGCAATCTCGGTGACTTTGTATTCATGGATGCGGTCCAACATGTGCTTTGAGCCGAGGGTGAGGCGTGAGATGAATCATCTTCTTCTGACGTGTTGATGTTCAGATGAACGCGACGACAGAAAGGCTCCGTGAGGAGCGAAGGTTGAAGACACTACAGAGGATGGAGGAGTCTGTCTAATTGTATTTTTCACAAACTGGCAACAAATGATTTATGCTTTGAATCCTTACATATCCAACGCCATTTCTGCCAGCTTCATCGCACCCTCTCTGCAGCATTCTCAGCATACGTAAATATTCATCACGCGCCTCACCGCGTCTGTGCTCCTCCTATGAAGCCTGTCGCGTGCACGAAGATGCAACCTTGTACCTGAAATGTGTCAAATCAAGCCCTTGAAACAACGTTTTTCTACTCCGGTAAGATCACTCAAGGCCTGGTCTCGAATCTACATATTCGTTAGCGACAGATCTTGGCCGTGTCAAGTAATTACTCCGCGCCAGGCTTCCGGCAACGCCTTGCGGCAATGGAACGATTCAGGTCGCTCAGGTACGGCCTTGCGTGACTATCACTGGGGTACCGTCCAGTCGTTCTCATACCTGGACTCGCCATGACCCTCCTTGGTCCTCATACACTGCATACAGCACATTGGCCTAACACGCACATGACTTTGATGTGAACAAGTGTATACATGGAAACCTGGAGCTCCTTCTCAATCTCAAAAAGATGATCCTTCCAAGGGCAGGCCTGTCCAAAGTATTAGAATACATTCTTCCAATCACAGCGCAAACCGTTTTAAGAACAATAATCTTTCCACTTGGATGATCCTGTCATCATCGAAAAAACGGCCACGTCACGATTGACAGCAGTGGCAATCCAATTACAAGTCACATCTAAGCGTGAAGATATTGCTTCGTAGACAATTGATCGTGCTGGCAGAAATGCTTTGGCGTAGTAGTTGACGACTGCGAAATGTCTTCAGTTTCGGGGCCGTTGGTGCTATCCTACTAAATACTGGATTCCATCTCGTCACCAACAATTTGCATTGCCTACGCCGAATTCAAAAGAGAGCAGACGCAAAACAAAAGAAAACCTTCTGAAATTGTTCGTCTGGTTTCTTGCTCTGATCATTCCAGCTCTGAGAACACGTTACAAGAGAGCTTGGATTGCCATACATCTCTGCTAACTGGGTTCAACCGAGCAACGCGTTGACCGAGCATGGTAGAGACCTGGAATAATCAATCTAATCACATGGGAGAAAGAAGCAGTTTTCTTTCACCTTATACTTGGGAACAGCATCTGCAGCATAACATTGGACCCCATTATCCACCGCATCGATCTCCTCACTGCCAAAAGTCTTAATTGAGCTGTAGAGCAAAAACTCAGCACAAGACATGAAATTATCGTAGACCAAATGATAAAGCTTCTCGTAATTGACATCAACGCTCTTCACGATATTCTGAAGAATCTGATATATTTATGGTTTCAATCAACAGGCTTGAACAAACAAGACTAAGGGAACCTCTTGCCCGAAGTATTTGTAGATGAGTCCTAAAGCATTTCTTCAGCTTTCAGTTCCTGTAAGAAGACAGAGGATAACCTGCAGACGAAAGCTTTGTAACAACATGCTTCTCATCGAAAGTATCAGTAAATGATTTCCTGCAGAAGTTTCATCAGTCTGAAGAACAAAGCACGCGCGATCTCTACGTACTGGTGATGATCGTAACGATGCGTTGAAGGGTCAAAGACAGCTCCAACGTCGACGACAATGTCCATCTCTGAGAGTTTGTTTTCCTGCACTTCATCATTCCTCATACCGTCACACCCGGTGATCCGACCTCACGAGTTCTCACGATTTCAGCGTCGGCGAACTGTTTGGTTTGATGCAGCATCCAACATCTCGATCATCATATTAGTACTTTAAAGTGATCGGACTTCAAAAAATTTCTCACGCCAAAACCTCGTCGCAATGAAATGCTCCGTCATGAGTTCCAATGCGCTTCTGAGCTTGCAGTCAGAGCATTATTCAACAAGATAACGAAACACCATGCTGCGAGCTCGCTGCTCAACAGCAGTAACAAAAGAAATTGAAAGGATGTTGTGTAAGTGAAGGAATTTGACTAGATAAGTAAATCACCTTGGCGTCTGATCCAGATTGAGTCATGCGAACTTGTTGGATGGAGCAACCTCCGCGTAAACTGAGAGTCCAAGTTCACACTCTCGCCAGGATCAACGGATTGAATGACCGTAGTAGGTTCCTGGTAGTGATGGGAGGCAAAAAGCAGTTGCAGGCGGCTACAACTGAGATGAAACGTTCATGCAAGACAAAGACTGCTATGGGCTTCACCTTGTAACCCGATGAGCCTGGAGGCAAGAATCTGTCAAGGAGGGTCAGATCAATCTTAAGGTTGCCATCAGCATCAAAATCTCAGCCTCTCCTCTCTACTCGCGCATGGCCCTCAAGACACGCGCATGGCCCTCAAGACACGCGCATAGCACTGTAACTTGGCAGGTGGAACCTCCATCCCGCTCGTGTCCATCGACAAGCGGATCGTGGAAGCAGTCTGGCCGGTAACGGCTGCAATGTAACCGCCAGCGGACAAGGTTTCCAGTCAGGTTTCCAGTCCTCCCCTGTCACTGTCGACCTATCCTGCTCTCTCTGGCGATCCCTGGCAGGAGCCATGTCTGCCTATGAAGAAAAGGTATGTTGCACTTGCATCTGCCCCATCAAAGCACATTGCTTCTTGTTTGCTTACTGTCGCCTTCCAACAGCGTCTGCAGCGAATCCGGGAGAATCGAGAACTCTTGATAAGCCTGGGGATAGCCAGCGAATTACATGGGTTGTCGTCTTTGAGCAAAGACGAAGGCAAGGAGACAGGAGAAATCAAGTCTGAGAGCTCTACGAAAAGGAGAAAAACTGTTGTGGCGGGGGAAGGAAAATCGACTCGTACACTTAGAAGCGCTGTGAAGAAAGATCCTGTGCAAGAACAAGAATTTCCAGAACTGAGGGAAGAGGTGAATATTTTTCCAGGTCGCGGCTTGTTCTTCCCAGAGACCATGTCATATTGCAGGCGAAATCGAGCAAGACCTCTAGACCTCATCCGAATGCTGGAAGATCCCTCGAAGAGCGAATGTCCGAGCTTGAAGTGTGATCTTCAGCTGTCTAAAAGACTGTTGCTTCCCCCTGATGGAATGTTTGCCGCCGCAGATGGGGACTTTGGTGGATTTGTCAAAAGAAGAAGCAATATTTATTGTACTAGGCTCAACTAGGAAACCTTACAAGGCAAAGTGACAAGCAAAAATACAAAATCTGATTTGTTTGAAGCAGGTATCGATTGGTGGGGCGCGATCTAAATGTGCATGTTTAGACTTTCGACTTCGGTGAGACAATGCTGTTTTGCAGGATTTCTTATCCTCTGGACATTATTTGACTCCACTGACGTGCTAGGAAAAGAGAATGCAAGCATATCGCGCTTCTTCGCAGAACGTTGGGTTTGACATCCGACAATCTGGAAGGGTGAGGAAACAATATAGTGTCTCCCTTTGCCTGAACGAACTTTCTAAGGTGGCATGACGCTGTCCTCGCTCATCTCGATCAACAGCCATGACATACCCATGTGCCGCGCCGCAGCCCGGCCGCCGTGATTCCAAGTTCAACGGCGGCGGGCCGGATACTCAGACCGGCCCGGTCGACTGATCACGATCTCCTTTCAACGTGGCTCAAAGTCACTGAGTCAGATCATAACTAGCAACGAGGACAATCACGAGACTCGAGATGGAGTGGCAACGCAACTTGAACTTGAAATAGTCATGATTTAAAGGCCTCCCTGAGGTTTCAACCCAAGTTTGGTTCTTGCGCTGTGTTTTTCTCTTCTCGCCGTCTGGCCTGTGCGACCGACAGCCTCGGAGTGTCAGGGTCAAGCCTCCCGGACGGTCCAGGCCGGGCCGCGGGCTGCCGTACGGTCTCAGGCCCTGAGTGTCCTCGTACTGATCTTTAACTTAACTTTGAGTGAAGAATACACTTTGACTTTGGAGGTAGACGAGGCGAGCATGGTAGGTTGGAAATGAATGGAATGGTCAGCAGATGGATAGGCGCTTCTGCTCTTGTTGCTCTGTTCTCTTTCGCTGCATGGCTAGTAGACAACGAACAGCTTCCTGCTGCAAAGTTAGCAAGGAACGATTATCCAACGTTTTCTCCCATAAATCGTTCAAATACCTTGCTTCGAAACCATGTGCTTCAAGGTCCCTCTGCATACTCAGTGGAAACTATTATTTTTTCTCCTGGTGGAAGAATGTTTGGGTTACAAGGTGATGGGTATCTGGTAGAATTTGACAGTGATAGTCAGACTGCAAGAAGCAAGCGAGTTATATATCTGGGTCCAGGCCGATTGCTAGGCGGCAAGTTTCATTCTGATCATACATTATTCATTGCTTGTGCTCTCAAAGGTCTTTTACGGGTGCATTTTGACAAGAGCTTTGTTAATAGACCGTCAGTTGAGCTTGTATACTCAGAGGGCATCACCCTGGCAGATGATATCGCTATCGGACCGATTTCAAAGAAAGTTTATTTCACGGTTGCCACCGATATTCTTCCATGGAGGACAAGGAAAAGTCAAGATGAGTTTGATGTAGTGGGCGCATCTATCTTGGATTGTATCCGCGGTAAACCAGCAGGCAAAGTGTTGGAATATAATCCGCAAACGGGTCACGTAAACGTCCTAGCAGAAGGACTTTGGTTTGCAAACGGGCTTACAATTTCGCCTGATGAATCATACTTGCTAGTGGCTGAGACGTTTGCGGCGCGTCTCACTAAAATATGGTTGAGACGGCCTGAGAGGGGAAGGCGGGAAGTGCTGGCTTCTAGATTTCCAGGATATATCGATGGAGTCACAATAGATCCAAAAGCACACACGGCATGGGTAGCTGTTCCGACTGCAGCGCCGAGGCTGGCGGGGTTGATTTCTTCCCTACCAAGTGATGTGATGGATCAGTTAATCCGAAGCGCACTTATGCTCTTGCCGAGCTGGATGCTCCCTGCGCAATCTCCATATTCCTGCCTGGTGGAGGTTTCGTTAGAGGACGGCGCTATCCTCAGAGAGCTTCAAGATCCTGACGGCCAGCGAATGAGGATGGTCACAAGTGTTGTGATACGAAACGGCAACCTGTACCTGGGATCGCTGGAGACTAACTTTGTTGGGGTCATCAGGCTGGATTCGCTCTCGACTTGATAATGTTTTGAACTACCAGGAGAATGAATTGAGATCAAAGTAGAACGTGAAAACAGAACAATTTGCCAGATATTTCGATGCTGAGAGACAAGAGGCAGGGAGACTGAACTTTGCCGGCGGGTCAGCAAAACTTTTCTGTGCCAGCGGCCGTTTTCCTTCATGAAGCACACTCCATTTGGCACTGAGAATATCTTAGCAAGAATTTTTGAACTAGACTCAAGCAAGTTCATATCCGATATCTCTTGCTAGTGTGAGGTTATAAAGACTGTCATGCTGAGGTTATTTAGTACAACAGTCATGCGGTGATCAACTGTCTGCGGGCCGCGCTTGATCTAAATCAACACGGCCTGCCTCAGAGATTTTACCTAGAATTACTCGAAGGCAGAAAAATTTGTTCGTTGCTAGTTAGTAGCAGCGAGGAAGGGACTTGACGCATGAGCATCAAAAATTTGACTGGATGACTGGTGGGATGCTCGCATCTTGTTAGTGATAGGACGCAGGCATCCAAGCACCTTGTGACAGCCAGCAGGTCAGCTCTATTTCTATACCTCTGTCTGCCGAATCCTTGTGCTAATGGCTTCTACTCTACTGACGTCGAGTAGTTCCCTCAGCTGATTGTAGGGGGAAGATGTTGAGCGGTGAAGGGGACAACGTCCAAGATGACTTCGATTACATTTCTAAAGTGCGACATCAGCTGAAGAGAAGGAAGAGCGAGATCAAAGTCAACCCTACACTGCCATCTCCCAACGAGCTTGAGAAATTCCATGCTGGACTGATAGCAGATGTAGTGATTGAACATCACGTCAAATTGAAAGAACAAGAGTTGGGCCTTCGAAAAGCTTCTCAAGTGGTGCATGAGAAAAGGAGGAAGAGGTTAGATGAAGATGGAGCTGTACACCGTACCTGGGCACCAGACCCTGTTAGATTTCGAGGAAAGTCGCTTTTTCTCTTCTCAATCTCACATCCATTGCGATATGCCTCTATCTACATTCTGCAGCATGGACTAGAGCAAGTGATGTTGATTCTGATCTTAATCAATGCAGTCATACTTGCTTGCTTCGACCCCCATGACACAACAGACTATCGTCCGATCTCTGCTCGTCGAAATGTTTTGAGAGCAATCAATCAAATTCTTTCCATCTGTTTCGGGTTTGAATGCCTCATCAAGATCGTTGCTCAAGGACTCCTTCTAGGCCCAACAAGTTTCCTGTCTGACGGATGGGGATGGATGGATCTTGTAATTGTTGTCTTGGGTTTGATGCAAGATTTCTTGAGCATAAGCTGGCTGAGGAGCATGGCGGTTCTAAGAGCTTCCAGAATGTTGAGGCCACTGCGAGCTATCAATAAGGTGCCGCAATTGAAACTTCTGGTCTCTTTCCTTCTACAAGTCGTTCCAACCTTGAACACAGTCTTGTTCCTCTGCACGTTCATCTTCTTCATCTTTGCCATTGTGGGAGTACAGGTTTTTCAAGGTGTGTTGAGGCAAAGTTGCTATGGGGTAAACAGCGGAGAAATCCATGTCCCCCCAATCAGTTGTTCAGACACAGTTCAGTGGGGTACAAGGGTATGCCCTACAGGGTACCAATGTCTGATGTTAGCGCAAGGCCCTTATGCAGGCATAATTAACTTTGACAATGTTCTCTATGCGTTACTATCGATTGCTCAAATGATGACATTGGAAGGCTGGGTATCCATCATGCGATCTGTCTCTGAAACCTCTTCGGGGTTTGTCTTCTTCTTCTTCCTTGCCCTGGTGCTAGTCGGCCCACTACTCTCCTTGAAAATGTTTCTCGCTATAATTGCTAATCGCCTTCGTGAAATGCAGATACAAAACAAACGACATCTTGGCAGGGATGTGATTAAAGTAATGACCAAACGATTTGCCAGCAGAATGTACGAGCAATGGGTTGAAGCAAGCTTGGTTTCTCGAATTGAAAAATTGGATGAGTTCAGAACATTTCGTGCCAGGCAAATTCAAAAATTCTTCTTTACCTGGGATCAAATCAGGCCATCGAAGCAACAGCTTTTGAAACAAACTACTGCAGGGGTGGGATTATCAATTTTGAAGGAGATCGGAGAACCAGCTGTCGTGATGAGCTTGAAGCTGGGAGGAACAGCTATGAAAAACGGGAGATAATGAAAGGAGATAGCATCATTCAAATCGACAACACAGACATCGTCCCTCTGGATTTGCACGCAGTCTATCAGCTCATGGTTGGCAGGAGAGGAAGTCGTGTGACATTGACAATCAGACGGACCAAGACCAGACGCATTGCATCAACACCTCGAGCAGGAAGCCAAGAAAACAGGACAATCACTGAAGAGGTTGATCATGTGATTCCGCTGGTTCGAGATTTGCTTCCACAAATGTTCGAAGAAGAACAATATCAGAAAGAGCTAATCCGGCAGGAAAAGGATGAAGACGAATTTTGGGAAAAAGCGAAATCAGTTCTTGAGCCATACAGTGGCAGGCAGAAAGAATATGTACCGTTTCGCGAGCGCCTAAGACGGACTGCAATTTCTGACACTCTTTCGGACATCATGTCCGTCATTATTGTTATCAACATCTCTTGTTTGGGTTTCTATCATGAGCTTGACAGTCCTATAGGAAATTTGTGGGTATCCAGTGGAAAGACGAGGAGTTACTGGCTATTCCGAGCTTCTCTTGAAGGGCTCAATGTTTTATTTCTTTGCACTTACGTGATTGAAATGGCAATCAAGATCGCTGGACTTGGCATATTTGGTTATATCAAAGTTCCACAAAATCTCTTTGATGGATTCATCGTATGCATTGGAGCGTACGAATTTCCGACAGGTCTTAGTCTCATCTTTTGCTATCTTCAGAACCAAGACGGAAGTGTTTGTAACGCTTCAAGCACAACCCTCAGTGTTCTCCGTGCCTTCCGTCTTGTTCGTCTTGTCAAATTTCTACGAAAGTTTCCCCAATTTCAAAGACAAGTGGGAAGAATTGCTGAGATGCTGCGACCTGTTGCAACAATGGTAGTTTTGATCATGTTGTTCCTCTTCATCTACACTATCCTCGGGATGAACTTGTTTGGGGCAAAGATGTGGTATCGCCCAACATGGCAGGATATTGAGCTTGGAGAATGGGTCTACGTTGACATTCCAGGTGATGATTTGCCATCTCTATTGCCTGGAAGGCCAGGGATTGTTCAGAGTATAGATAGAGCACAACATCCGAGACTGCCGTATAGAGTGCGAATAGTTAGCAGCTTCACAACATTCGGATACGAGACGGAAGAAGTTTGGGCGGGCATTAGGAATGATGACGTATTCACTGTTCTTCCGTGGGATAATTCTGCTGCAATCTCTTTTGCTATTCCTCGCGAAAATTTTGATACGTTTCAGTCTGCATTATTGACTGTATTCCAGATCTTGACACAAACAAACTGGCAGAACATCATGTACTCTGCCTGTTCGATCAATGGAGGGCCATCAGCTTTATACTTTTATGCCTTGATTTTCGTTGGAAACTATGTTCTTATGAACGTTTTCCTGGGAATTGTAATTGTTGGTTTTGGAGATAATAAGGGCCAACTGGCAATCATTGAGCGAGATAACAGGGAACTGGCAATGCAGCGATTCAAATCTAGTCGTATTCTCGAAAAAAATGTCATCAAGGCTTTATCAAAACATCTTTGCAACTTTCCCGGACCTAATTGCATGTTAGGAGGGGTCTCCATGTGGAGTTTACTTCAATTTCGTGAAAAGAAAGTTGCAACATTTAATGTGAAGACAATTTCAGCAGGTTCGGAGATTGTATACGACTACGATTATGTTCAAATACCAATGGCTGTCCGAGATGCTGCAAAGCTTTTGCTGGGTTCGATGAACTTTCAATTTCTTGGGAACGAGCCACTACCTACAGCCACAGACATCCAGCGAATCATTCTTGACCTACGAACTGTACGAGTGCTTTCACGCAAGCGAAACAAGCTGGGAAAGATTCTGAAAAGCAAAGCTCAGTCTTCTCGAGTCCTACCTGCTCTGATTGTCAATGTCAAAAATACTAACACAAGCTCGTTTTTCATTGCTGTAGAATATCTCTTCAAGTTCTGGGAGCGAGTTGAAGCAACGGAAGAGAAGCAAATGATTCGTGGGATGGAGTCCAATCTTGCAATGACGGAAGAACAAATGAATGACAATATGCAATTAATCTTGGAGGGTGCAGACCTAACCATTGCAGAACAAGCGCGCAAGAACGTCGGAGATCCCTTTCATTCTGACATTGCGATGCAACTGCTTCATCCTGATGGTTCAACAAGATGTCAAGGAGTGGTTGGTAGGAGAACTCAGTGTCCGAACAAACTCGACTGTATGGAACATAGAGAAGTCAACGTGCGGTTCCTTTCGGGATATCAGAGTCTGAAACTCATATCTCGTGGCAACACCTCGGTTGCGATGGCACGAGATGGAGAAAACCTTGCAAAGATGATGCGGACAGGTCTACAATCTTCACTTGAAAACCACTCACAAGATGATGTTCCTTACTCGGTCTGTGGATGCATAACATGGAACAATCCTATTCGCACATTTGCAGGGAATGTCGTCAACAATCCTCTCACTGAAAAATTCATTGTGACTCTTATTCTCATTGACTGCATGGCTCTTGCTACTGAACGTCCGTTTCGATCCAATTTGGAAGAAACCATCACGACCTGGCTGCACATTTCTGTAACTCTCTTTTTCGTTTTTGAAGCATCTTTCAAAGTTCTCTGGTATGGACTGAAAAAGTATTCAAGAAATCCATGGAACCGTGTGGATATGATTGTTGTGCTGGGAGGAATCACTGAAATCTTGATGCAACTCATCATACTTACTTCTTCGGCTGTGGCTGCAATTCGCATTATTCGAATCGTCAAAGGCTTGAGGGCGCTGAGGCCTTTAAGAATCCTCGCACAGACTACCGGTCTTCGCATTCTGCTGTCAACTCTAGCAGGGGCATGGAAGCCCATTATCAGCGCAGCTCTCGTTTCAGTAGCTGTGTTTCTTGTGATTGCAATCCTTGGCATGCAAGTTTTAAGTGGGAATATGCACTTCTGCAGTGACCCGATGATCTGGACCAAGGAAGCTTGCAACGGAACAGATCCTGGAGGCGCATCTAGAGTTTGGCAAAAAGACTCTTTGAACTTTGACTGGATTGGGGATGGTCTGATTTACGTTTATGTGTTGGCTTCTCAAGATAATTGGCCTGTCCTGATGCGCCAGGGAATAGACTCCACGGGGCCAACAACAGGGCCTCGCAAAGACAACATATCATGGTTTGCTGTATACTACATCTTTGTCATTGTGATTGGAGGGTTCTTTCTGATCTCTGCCAGCATCGGCGTCTTTGTGCAAGCATTCTCGGTTGCTTCTGTTGCCATGGAGTCACTTCAACCACCTCCAAGGAAACCAAGCCGGGCGGCACTTCCATACGTGTTTGATCCTCCTTCCAGTTTTGTGAGAAGTCGACTTTATTCGATCTACACGTCTATGCCATTTGAGAAGTTTTTACTTCTTTGCATTGTCGGAAACATAGTTATCATGTCGTTCGAAAGTTTTCATGATTCAGCATACTCTGTTAATATTCAGACTGGTTTCAACATGTTCTTTATGTTTACATTTGGGATTGAGGCATTTGTTGCCCTCATTTCAGTTTATCCTCGACAGTATTTCACGAACTTTATGAATTCTTTCGACATGTTTGTTGTTCTTGTATCGTTTGCTTCGTTTGCTTTCGAATCTCAGTTTTCGAGTGGTACAACGGTAAATCCAAGGATGCTTCGAGTTGTAAGGGTCTTCCGACTTTTCAGAACTCTCAGAACTCTAAGAATTTTACGATCTGCCAAAGGATTGACAGTAATTCTGGACGTGCTGAAACGATCTGTCATTTTGATTGTTAACCTACTTCTTCTGCTTGTGCTTGTCTTCTATTCCTGTGGAGTCGTGGGAGTAGCATTCTTCTCTCACATGTGCACAGACGCATATCGGACTAATGATGTTGTTCATCGATGTGATCTTCTGGCATCTGATTCACTCCTATCATCCGTTTCCAACTTCCAGAATTTGGGACTTGGTATGATACAACTGTTTGAACTGAGCACGAGAGATATGTGGTCCGATGTCATGTGGAAGTACAACCTGAGGATCACCTCTGCACGGAACCCAAATGCCCTTGACGAAGCTGTGAGGGCGTTGCAGTCTTACAAGCAAACAAGTGTCTATACTTTGAAGCAAGAGTATCTTCAAGCAGCGCGCAACGCTTTACCCCAGTGCCAGACTTATGATGAACTCAAGAAGCTACAGGATGATGGACTGCTCGTGTGCGAAAGCACTCCATGCCTAGAAACGTGCGGAAATATAGCTAGTCTTATATTCTTTCCCTTCTTCGTTGCAGTGGCTTCGTTTATCTTGATGAATTTGGTTACCGCTGTGCTTATGAGAGAACTCGTGAAAGGCGAGAATGTAGAAAGAAGATGGTATCTGAATTCATGTCTCTGCCAACGTTTCAGGTGATTCAGAAGAAATGGAAAAGGTAGTTACGTTTTGTTTTCTCTTACCCTGATTGATTTTGATAGAAACGCGAATGGGAAAAGTTCTATGCATCGGATTCTCTCCAATAAGATTAAAGATCTTACTCAAAAACAGTATATCACAATGGAACAATTCGAAGATCTTGCTTATCAGCTTGCAAACATTTTTATTTCGCCTCCAGATCCTGGCCAAGTCGAAGAGTTTGAGAATAGACTCATGGATATTGAGAAGAAAGCACAAATTGCCCAAGGTTTGATTCCAGAAGAAGACAGCAAGGAAAACTCAAGAGGAAGAAATAACAGATCTCACAATGCTGAACATGCCGAAGAAGATGAGATCAATATCGCTGTTCTTCAATTAGTACTCGACCATCGTTTTTCAAGATTGAATCGTGCTCATAAAAAAACTTCCTTCAGGCGGTCCCTCAGACGAGACATTGCTCGTGTTCTGCATTGTTCTGAAGCGCAAATTGAAATACCTGAAGTCTTTGCAGCAGAAGACACCCGGTCTACCGCTGCGAGAGTTGTCTTTCTACCGTTGGATGATATACTGATCAAAGTAATTTCTGGTCAAACTATGCGAGAAGTCTTTTCCTGTCCTCCACAGACTCTGATGATGGATTTTGTTGGCCTGCTATCTTCTGACTTGTACATTGAAAATGCATACCGCTTTCCAGAATCTGGTAAGGTTTCCTTCATTCGATTTTCTTGAAATAAAGTTGTTTGAGCAGGTTGCAAATTGCTTTCATTGGAGATTCTTTCAAGAGATTACTTATCTTCTGAGCTCAGCAAAGCAGCTTTGAAGCCAATCAGTGAAGAAAATGAGCAAAATTCACGAGGGACACTGAATGAAAAATGTATTTCACCTTCCAGCGCCGTAGGCAGCAAGGCTCCTTTCTACACGGCTACTCTCAAAGAAGTGAGTATCTTTCTTTGTGCTTTGATTTCATGCCACGCTTGGCATTTACTTTGTTTCAGGATATCAGAGTTGCGACGGATTCTGAAATGCTTGAAAATGATTCTGGAGTCACGATGAGTCTCGCACCACGAAGCAGCAGAGATGCTTACGTCCACAGAGATTCTTCTTCAAGAGCGTCAAGCCCTAGCAGTTCGCAGTCCTCTACCTCTGCGCGGAGCTCGGTCTCATCCAATCTGATCTCGAGAGCAAGACATCGAGGTCGATTTGGTGAACCAGACTTGAATCCTGATTTATCATCTTCACAAGCTGACGCCAGACCTCAACAATTTCATGCAGCCCCTTTGCATGAAAATCTTTCACTAAGTGCACGGTCATCACCATTACCAACTTCAAATATTTCTTATCTGACTGATGAGGACGTTGTCGTCGGTTCTTATGGATCTTCGAGAGAGAATAATAGTCTAACTGAATCTCATCATTCGGGAACAAGGGGTCCTTCTGGTCGATCAAAGGCTTTGTCAAAAAATCCTTCTGTATTGCGAAGCGATTTACCAAGTCGACCAGACAGTGTTGAGGTTTATTTTTCTTTCAATCTGGCTTCAGGCATGACTTGTACCTGCTTAGCCTGACTCAGAGCAGTCCCAGTCTGTCACAAGCTCGCGAGCCAGAGCGAAGGTAAGCAGCTTCGAAATTGCCTTGCTATTACAGTGAACGGGATTTCAAGTTCCGCCTGGATATGGTTTTCAAGTCACAAGAGAAAAGCTCAGAAAGGTTTCGACATTGCTGCATTTCTGTATGTTTCTGAACGTTGTGTATTGGTAGGTATCTTTTGAGAGAGTATCAAGATCCTGGCACATTTGAGACCAGGTTAAAGCCTTCGTAATTGCCGTCTTTTCAGCAAAAGATATACACCTACGCACATGTACAGCATGTTTTCTTGTTATTATGAACGACGTAAAAGATGAGACGTTCTGTCCCTCCTTTCAAAATCTTATGTTCTCAATGGTTGTCACAGCGGTGGCATCCAACAAGTCCGCCTCAACAGACGACTAACAACCAGACTCATAACTAGTAGCAGTAGCAACCGAAAGGGTGGGGTAGAAAGTAGTCAAAGAGAGGGGTGGAGTGCACGATCGCTCTACTGGCTCTTCATGAAGGCGGTACTGTACGCCGGACTAGTATGGCTGCTTGCCGCTCTTACGGTCCTCTCCATTCTTGCATCATCAGGATCGAGGCGAGATGTGCTGCAAGAGCGATCTCGTCCCGGCGTGGTTGACTGGGATAAAAAGCTCAGAATGGATGAAGAAAAACTAGAAGACTTGTCTTTTCGGCGACTTGGGATCACTTCTCCAGCAGTGAAAGGTTCATACCAAAAGTACCACCAGAAACTGCATAAGTTTTTGAGCAAAGAAACGCGGATGTTCATCAGATCACAACAAAAATATATGAATGCGTTGAGGCAATTAGAGCAAGCACCTCAGGTTGTTTCAGTAGAGATCAGGGATGGATGACTGAGTGACGTTTTTGATTTACAGATGATATTAGCTTTGAATGCATCTTCCAATTCTTCAAATTCGCAGGAAGCTCGAGATTCAGAAGCGATTATGAACGAATGCTACCCTCCCAAAGCTTGGGTTGGCGGTAGGATGACATCACTGTTTGTTGTGATGTTTGATGTGAAAACAATCAGGAAGCTGCATCGCAAAACCTGTTTTGAACCATCAGCCTTTGGAATGCTATGTGAACAAAAGGAATAATGCGCCTCTTGTTCACGTGAGCCTGATTGGCAGCAGGAGCAAGAAGTGCGAAAAGATTTTAAGCGATTATGAAACGAAGTTGAAGGAGTATTGGAAGGCTCTACGACAACACTATCCATACATGTCAGCATGGTTGGTGCATTATTCTTCTTCAATTTAAAACACTACAGGTATGACACCGGCCTCGACCATACCGCCAATCAAAACAACAGATATCTGATAACCCCAGTCCGGTTCCCTCATAAGGATATGAGCAACCTCGGCGATAATTACATAGGTATTTTGCGCAGAAGCAAATTGTGATGTATTCATCCTGACCAATCCTATCACAGTTGGTATGACCGAAGGGAACAGAGATTTCTCAGACAGGATAACAAAAGTTGAAAATGTTGGCCAAGCTCCGATCCCACTTCAGATTTTTGCTGGAGGCACAGGAGACAAGTCTTATTCGCATAGGTGATGTTTCCTAAAGCTACGACATCGCGACTTGATAGCTCGCCTGACACTTCATTCAGCTCTCGTTTTGTAAGTGATTCCGCAAGTTTAGGGCCATTCAGAAGATCGCTCGTTCCCTTTAATGAGTATGCATCGACCCTTCGGGCGGATCCAAGCTCACCGATTCACAGACTCAAAAACCAGTGGCATCCTTCCAATACCCCACAAATTCCACCTCATGACAGGTGCATGCTGCATAAACATGGAAGTTGTTGCTAGCTTTTGATACATGCACAGATTTTCTCCTCTCGAGAAAAAACAGGGAAACTCCAGCAGTACATCAAACAAGGCAGAACAAGTATTTCTCTTGGTACAGACGGAGTTCGATCTTGATGCCATTTAACAAATCTAAACGACACAGGGGAAACTATCTGGCAACGTGGATCCGTTGGGGATAAACTCAGGGCTACAGGTACTTCCCGAAGACCATTTCTTTCAGTGTAACATGTTGTAGGACGACGAGGTGCCTGCCTCTCGTTTAAAGAGGAGCTGGAGATAAATGTCAACCTTGCTTCTGAAAGCACAGCTCTGTATTAGACAGCCAGTATCAGATTGGCGAATGATACATCCATCCCACAGGCTCATGTCATTAATTATTCTGTTCACCTGATCAATGATGAAATTTCATTGACTTGTTTCTGTTGTGCACGGATTGGAGATATGGCTGCGACTTTTCGAAAAATCTCTCCCATTCCCGAGTTAAACCCCGCCGCAGCTCGTTGAGAGCAGTAATCTTTCCACTCATACTCGTCCTGTACATGCACGCCTGACACCTGTAAGATTCTCCCAGGCTGAGGCACATCTGTTCGACTCTGGCTTTGAACCGTCCTTGCAAGAGCATGAGTTCCACTTGCGTTGTGTTCTTGGCCCATTCCAGTAGGATTTTGCTCTGAAAGGTTAAAGAACATAGAGATAATGGGGTAACCATGATCACTCAAAGTGGCTCCTATGAGTTTGCCATCCTGACAACGAACCTCTCTTGCTTCAAAAGATAAAGTTGTTTCGCGATACCCGAAAGGTTGTACAAATGGTTCGTTCAGCTTCTCAGGATGATCACATGGATTTCCTATCACAGCAAAGTGATACTGTCGAATCCCTTCCTTAGTTATCACATTTTGGTATCAACTCGAATGAAATCTTGCGTGTCACAAACACAAGGCCAGCAGCAATAGTGCATGTATCCAATCCTTGATCCCCCAAGGACCGTTCCAAGATTCAACAAGTATCGATTATAATCGTTTGGTCTGACGGGCGACCCACTCACAGCACAGAAGCCGCTGAACATATACTCTAGCTGTTGCGGTGTCATCTGCATTGTAATGTTATTGTCAAAGAGATCAAAGAGACTCAGTTCAGGTTACTTGCGAACTCCTCTCAAGCAAGAAAGTGGCCCACAGGTGTGATGCTGCATTTCTGTTCCCAAAACGAAAAATATTGTGATACTCCGCCCACAAGTCCTGCAAGATTTATAGATCAGCTTGTTTTTGCTTAATAAAACAGAGCATTGCCTTGACGTTTTCTCCCTTCCAAGGAGTGCTCACCTACAAAAACAAGATTGAAACATGTACAGAAAAATCATTGGAATACCTGTCGGATATCACAAGTCAGTGATGCAACTTCGCTAGAATTTACTGGGATGGTGTTTGAAGCAGACGATGCTGATACACGATTGGTCAAGGAGTCAAATAGCAAGTTAAAATCTTGTCGCAGTCAGTACCTTGAGACTCACAGCTCAAAGTACAAACAATGACGAAGGCGACCATTCGAGCGGCTATCAGTTTCTCAGAAATGTATGTCTTTCGGTTGGGACTCTTGTCGAGCGTACAAGTTGGGTTTGCTATCTTTGTTTCGAAGTTCATCGCTCCCCTCCCGCTTTGAACTTGTTATGCAGTATATCCAACAGGATTCCGACAAACCCTTTAAATCTTGGTCGAGTCTCATCAGGTTGCGCACAGTAAAACAATCGGCCCGGTGAAACCGGCAGCCGGGGGGCTGAGCTCAGATTCTTTACTCAAAGTTAAGTGATACTCCCCTGAGGTGGCGGCCCGGACCGGGTGGCGGCGAGGCGGTCACCGGTACGCCGCCGGATGACGGTTGCGGCCCGGCCCGGGACTCCGGCGGGAGCCAGTGCCGACTGAGATCAGTACGAGGACTTTACTCAAAGTTAAGTTAAAAATCAGTACGAGGACAATGAGGACACTTGTAAAAACTTGTACAACAAAAGGTTTGCTTTTCTTTCAGTTTTTGACGTGTAGGAGGCAAGGAGGGAAGGAGGGAATGAAAGGGAAGTGGGTGATTTACAGGCGGCAGGCAGGCAAATTGGCAGAAGATTAACAAACACAATGACGTGATCAGGAAGAAATGAAATGTCGAAAAGGCAAAGTGAAGGGTACAGGAAGACACCTGCATGATTTAATGCATACGGGCACTGAAACGTTCCAACTGTTCCGACGATTCAGTAGCAGACCTGAAGTTCTCTTTAGGTATGAGCAGCAGATAGCATAAAACAGCGTTGCTATGGAGCGGTGGATAGGAAGGGACCTTCACAAGAAGAAAATCAGAGTTAAGCAGAATGCTTTCGTCACCCGCGAGGAAACAAAGAAGCTCCTGGACTTGCTGGATCTCGGAAGCACTGAAAGTGTTGTCGACGGACCATGCGTCTCGGAGCATCATGGAGCGGATGCGAGAAAGCATTCAAAGCCTAGGTAAGGGAGAGACAGAAGACTGACCGGCAGAGAAAAGAGAGAGGTAGATAGAGAGACAGAGTGATCGAGAGACAGAGATACAAAAACAATGTATGGTGTACTCCCGTTGGGATGGGAAGGAGCAAGTAGAGTGTGAGAAGATGTTGAGCAGCTGATTCTTAGTGCGCCAGGGCGAGCCTTTACAGATTACATGTCAAGGCTTACAGATACACATCTGTCGCTGGGTGTAGATGTCAGGACCAGACCGTACAAGGGAATTATTTCGTCCGGATGCGGCTCCCACAAGTAGAGGGAGGGCGATGTGCAGGTTGAAGTAACTGAGATCCCTGTCGGAAAGCTTGTCGGGGGCTTCAAGTCGAACTGGAAGCGAGTGATGAAATTGGTTCTTGACGGTAGCGAGACGGAGCTGAGCGACAACGGAATGAGACAGAGCATGGGAATCCGGGAGGTGGCGAGGTGACGATGGTGCCGCAGACACTAAGACGTACGGGTATGTAGTCAACAACGTGATAGAGGATTTGTTTTGCTTCAAAGTTTTCTATGTGCATTCGTCAACGGGGTAAGGAATGTTTTGTTACAGTCCTATGCTTGTTGAGGAGAGGGAGTGAGAGCTTGGGGTGCAGGATCTGCTTCTTTGTGCAGAATGTGAGGGTAGGGAACATGTCTTGGCTGAATAGGGAGGTGCCGACTCAATCTGACGGGGAAGTGAGCAGGTGTTCAGGGATGGGTCCGATGAGGTGAGAGGAGTGGGCACGTACCGGGATGGGAAGAGAATTTAGAGACTTGTCCTTGTCGGGGATGGATGGGAAGAGAATTTAGAGACTTGTCCTTGTTGGGGATGGGGGAGGGGTGAGAATAGGAGGAGGAGGAGGAGGAGAGGGTTGGTGTCAGGGAGGACGGAGAGGTCGAAGTAGATGTCGGTTTCGTTGACATGCATGTGTTGAAGGAGAGCCCGATCAATTTTTAAATCAACATGGTGAACATGGCGGAGGCAGACAGGAGCTTGCTCGCGTCTTTGGAAGAGTTAGATTGAGCTTTCGTCGTATCCTTTCGCTTGGTAGCCTTAGGTGGACGAGCGTCTCGAGTTGTTGTAACTGGAGCCTGTCGGAGTGCGCGGTCGGCCGGCCCCGGTCGCCATTTGCTAGGACGACGACGCACTGTACGGCCTCGAACACAAGGCGGGCAACCAAGAGAAGGGGCAGGGCCGTTGTTGTGAGATTGTGCGAGGAGTCCCGAGGGTTTAGGGTTTAGGGTTTAGGGTTTAGGGTTTTAGGGTTTAGGGTTTTAGGGTTTAGGGTTTAGGGTTTAGGGTTTAGGGTTTAGGGTTTAGGGTTTAGGGTTTAGGGTTTAGGGTTTAGGGTTAGGGTTTAGGGTTTAGGGTTTAGGGTTTAGGGTTTAGGG